GAGGAGGAGTATGGAAGAAGTGAATGTTTTCAGATACTTGGGAGTTGACGTGTCGGCGGATGGATTTATGAAGGATGAGGTTAACCATAGAATTGATGAGGGAAAAAAGGTGAGTGGTGCGTTGAGGTATATGTGGAGTCAAAAAACGTTATCTATGGAGGCAAAGAAGGGAATGTATGAAAGTGTAGTAGTACCAACACACTTATATGGATGTGAAGCTTGGGTGGTAAATGCAGCAGCGAGGAGACGGTTGGAGGCAGTGGAGATGTCCTGTCTAAGGGCAATGTGTGGTGTAAATATTATGCAGAAAATTTGGAGTGTGGAAATTAGGAGAAGGTGTGGAGTTAATAAAAGCATTAGTCAGAGGGCAGAAGAGGGGTTGTTGAGGTGGTTTGGTCATTTAGAGAGAATGGATCAAAGTAGAATGACATGGAAAGCATATAAATCTATAGGGGAAGGAAAGAGGGGTAGGGGTCGTCCTCGAAAGGGTTGGAAAGAGGGGGTAAAGGAGGTTTTGTGGGCGAGGGGCTTGGACTTCCAGCAAGCGTGCATGAGCGTGTTAGATAGGAGTGAATGGAGACGAATGATACTTGGGACCTGACGATCTGTTGGAGTGTGAGCAGGGTAATATTTAGTGAAGGGATTCAGGGAAACCGGTTATTTTCATATAGTCGGACTTGAGTCCTGGAAATGGGAAGTACAGTGCCTGCACTTTAAAGGAGGGGTTTGGGATATTGGCAGTTTGGAGGGATATGTTGTGTATCTTTATACGTATATGCTTCTAAACTGTTGTATTCTGAGCACCTCTGCAAAAGCAGTGATAATGTGTGAGTGTGTGAAAGTGTTGAATGATGATGAAAGTATTTTCTTTTTGGGGATTTTCTTTCTTTTTTGGGTCACCCTGCCTCGGTGGGAGATGGCCGACTTGTTGAAAAAAAAAAAAAAAATAGTGATAAATTATGATAGGTAAATTTAAGTGATTATGTGTGAATGATGGTAAAAGTGAATTTTCTTTTTTGTCACCCTACTTCAGTGGGAGATGATCACCGTCTTAAAAAAAAAAAAACTCAGTGGTGTTGCTTCTGCTATTCTTCCTGTTGATGTCTAATGTGTAATAGTGTGATTGTTTATAATTTCTCATAAACATTATAAACATGACTTGTACAGTGACCAGTCGAAATATTCATTTAAGAATAAAAAAAGTTTGGGTATTTATTTTTATGAAGTGGGTGTTAGCATTGTTACTACTACATCAATTTTATCTTGTTATTGTTGCTAGTCAATTTTTTTTTAATTCACATACCTTATAAAGATAAAAATAAAAATTCACATTAGTATGTCTAATAAATGTTTTGGTGTTACTTGATCATATTTTTAGATTTTCTTGTTTGATTGAGATATTTTTATGGTTTAAAGGAGAAATTCAAAATTAAGTGAAATTAATGTAAAAATTGTGTAACGAGTACTGGAGACCAGTGAAGTGTTCATGTAGTATATACAAGATCACCATCATACCAACTGGGTCATGGTTTTACAAAACAGCCTGACCCTATCCTTATGAATCTACATGGGATTTGTCCGCCAACTTTATCCCATCCTTCCCCAAGACTCGTTCTGGTTGATCATGGCCTATGAAATAGGAGGAATAATACATTAAAACAAAAAAATAAAATGGAGAAAGTTGGAGATTAGGCTTAATCAGAAAGATACTTCTCTCTGGGGATCCCTGGGTCTGGTAGGATGTTGAGGAGGACAGGACACTATTTTTGTGAGCTGTTTCATTATTTGGATATTGGCTACTGTACTTAAAAATGTGAGTATACCCTTGATATACCTTTGAAGAATTTCGAGAGTATATCTACTCTCTGAGCCCGGCCATGGGCCAGGCTTGTCTGGTGCTCGCCTGGTCAACTGGGCTGTTGCTGCTGGAGGCCTGCTGCCCCACATATCCATCACAGCCTGGTTGATCTGGCACCTGGTGAAGATACTTGTCTAGTTTCCTCTTGAAGGCTTCAACACTTGTTCCAGCAGTGTTTCTGATATCTTCTGGTAAGATGTTGAAAAGTCTGGGACCCCGGATGTTGATACAGTGTTCCCTTATTGTCCCCACCGCACCCCTGCTCCTCACTGGGTTTATTTTACACTTCCTCCTATATCTCTCGCTCCAGTATGTTGTTATGGCAGTGTGCAGATTTGGGACCAAGCCCTCGAGTACCTTCCAGGTATATATTATCATGTACCTCTCTCTACTCTGCTCCAATGAGTACATGTTCAAGACTTGCAGGCATTCCCAGTAGTTTAGGTGCTTTGCTGGCTCAATGTGAGCCGTAAACGATCTTTGTAGAGTAGAGCATACATGATTGGCGTTGACTATACAATAACTTTGTGTTAATCAGTCTTTGAGGGTAAACATCCTTGGCTGGTAGCCCCAGTGTTACAAATGATATTTTCTCAACATTCTCGCTATGCTCTGTACTTTTGTTCAAGTTAGGCAATACTTTATATTATTCCTGTTATGTTCCAGGTACTGATGATTCTTCCTTAATGACCTTGAAAATCTTTTTGTCTACCATTTTCCCAGTTTCTGGGATAGTGTTTTGACATAAATTTTTCACAGAATCTGTTATTTTTTTCCATACTGCTTGTATATATACAGTACAGTACATAGACTAATATTATACTCAAGAATTCATTTTTATTACCTTGGATACTTTTTTCACTGAAAATACTTAGGCACTTTGTCTCATTTTTGCTGTTTGAATTTTCTGCTGTGGTACCTGGGAATATGTCAAACATTTATACTGGTAATCCATTAGACCCCAGCCAGATGTTTACTCACTTTTTTGCCTAATAACAAATGACCCCCTCCACTTGTGAGGTGTTGGTTGCTTGAGAGATGTCGTCCGAGACTCTCACATTGCTCCAGAATCCAGTTGTCATCCTCTCTGCTGTTTTCTCTCATAGCTTGATTTAAGACATGATGAACTAGTCAGCTTTTTATATTAAAATAATGAGCAAACGTTGGAAACGTGGAATTTACATAAATTGTTCAGGGTTTGTAATTTTTTTCTACAGCCTTGGGAAAAATTTTGCTTATCACTCTTTTAATGCTTTGGCTTTTCTTAATAAGCACAATAATTAATGGAATGGGCAGAAATTGAACCCTTGGCAAGCCAGTCTTAATACTAGGAGGGCATTGCTCTAGCAACTTTAGCATGCTGGCCAAATAAAATTCTTTTAACAAGGTACATTTCCATTCACTAAGCAAGTTAACAGTGGACTCCATTGTGACCATAAATGCCATGATTTGTCATGGGTTTGAGTCCTGCCAATTTTGTGAGTTCACAGTACAGTATTGTTATATACTGTATTTAACTCATAAAATAGTAATTTTAAATACGTATATGTATACCTAAATAATCATATAATTGCCATTTACAATTTAAATTTAATATTAGTATTCAAAATCTGTATTAGCCTTATTTTTAACGTTGAAAGTACAGTATTTTAATTTTCTATAATTCTTTTACATTACACACCCATGCAAGGAATATGATTTCAATACACCATTCAGATCGATTAAAACTGCTAAGGCTCTGCATTTACGGTACTAGGAAATATGAAACCAAGTATCTTGCAAAGTAATTACATTTGGAAGATAAGATGGTGAAATTCCATCTTTATTTTTTCTGCAGGTGTGGTAATTTATGCTTCAAATTTGACAGAGGTGTTTTTTCTGTTTTCTTTCATTAATTTGTTTTACTGGACGAGTGCCTTGGTACTGGTGAAGGGCTCTTCATCCGAGTAATTGGAGTTAACCTCTCCTTATTTCGATCAAACCTAATTACCTCATTTCCTTCCCTTGGTGTTTTTTGACCCCTATGGGTTTATCCCATTCAGGGTCCGTGCCATAGTTCATTGGCTTTGATTTGAGGGTCCAAACTGTAGATCTATGCCATGAGCTCAGCTCACTCTGATAAGCTGTGAGTGGTAAATTTGGGCCTAGATATGAGAGAATACATCTGTGGTATGTGTGCTCCACATAAAACAAATCCTGCAGCACACAGTGCATACCGAGAGAAAAAATGAGACTAATTTTAGATTAAAACAGCGACTTTGCAGTTTTTTGTATGTCTTTTATAGTTGTATTTGCGATTTCTTGGTCTCATTTGATAGAGTGGAAGATATATTACAGAAATAGAGATGATTTTGATTGGTTTTAGCACTGGAAATGGCTTGAAACTGAGCTCAAAATAGCGGAAATGTTAAATTTCTGCCAATGTTCAAGAGTAAACAAATGACCTCACACATCTAATACATGCCAGCTGATGGGTCTGATATACATTCACAATTGTGATATTATTTATACAATTATTGCAATATTGCATAACAGTAAATCTTCTATTTTTTTGGTTTGAATGAAGATTCATTATGTGAATAAAAGATCAAAATGGAATTCATTTGTAAAGCCTGAAAAAATAACTTCTGAACAGAGGAAATGTTAGTTTAGTACCAGGAATGCCTGCATTGTTTATTCTGGACCCTATTTTGAAATTGGAATATTTTGAACTTTGCATTAAATTGCCCAAATTACCAATTTCCAATCACATTATCTTGTAGTTGAAACAGTTGACTTGGCGATTTCTTGTGCTCAATCGGTAGAATAGAAGTAATACTGGTGAAAAAGCTAAGAATTTGGTCAACTGGAATAATGTAATTGGCCTAAAATGGGAGTCAAAGTCGGCAAAATTGCTGATGCATAAATATCGCTGACACATCAAAATTCGCGAGAGCATAATTTCGCCAGTTTTCCATCAAATTTTGTACTTTTTGTTTTATTACCTTCAGAAAAAGATTCTCTACCATTTCATAAGAAAAAATAATTTTTTTCTTGAAAATTCTTGGACCCTAGTGCACACTTTGAAATTTGGCCTCTGGACCCTGAAAGGGTTAATGCTTCCCTATGAATATCATAATTAACTGGTAATATATTTTCCCAGATAAGTCTACTAACCCCAAAGGACATGATGGTGGACAGATTATGCCCATGGGCATCATATGTGGTGCAGCCACCCAAGACAGAGGGACTAGCATATCATCATCACTTCTGGAACCCCCCACCTGAAGAGGTATGTAAAGGTTTTCTGAATCTCATATGATGAGCAGTCAGTAGTAGTGGTGGCAGCCTGGTACTGTATTTTAGTATCAAATGATAGTGTTGACATATATTCCCAATATGGCATTTGGTGTTTATATTTGAGTGATTTTTATTGTTTGTAATTTTTTAACATTACAGTAGTTAGGGAAGTATGTTCATGAATATCTGCTGAAGTTTTTACTGTAGTATTTTCAAGAACAGTAGTAAATACTGCTTGTAGATAAATAAATTTGAGTAGATAATGGTATGAGATACTAACATGGTGGTAAATACAGCCTCTTCACACTTAGTTTACCGACAACTTGGACTTATGACTGGCTCTCTGACCAGTATGCATGCATAAATAATGTATATTAGAGCTGATTTCCTCTAATCTGTTTATTACAATATGCAGTACACTGTATAAACATTTAAAAATATACTAAAAATGTTATAAATGGTGCAAAAGTGACATTAAAAAAATGTCAAAGATGGTTGACACAAACCCACTATGATTATAGTATGCTCCTTGCTTAGTGATGAATTCGTTTACTGATGTGGTCTTAGGAATGGAACTCTGTCGTTAAGTGAGGAGAGACTATAGACACAAATGTAGTTGCATGGAACCCTCAGTGATGATGATTCTCCCATGCAGTAGGCTTTATTGGGCACTTCAAAGCATGTCCTGTGATTAGTTTATAATTCAATAGTCATGTTCGGAGCCCCCCAAAAAATGGGCATTGAAAAAAAATATGTACAGTGATCCCTCGTTTTTCGTAATTAATCCGTTCCTGGAAGTGTGACTATTATCGAAATCTACGATTTTTGAATAAATTTTCCCCATAAAAAATAATGTAAATACAATTAATTCGTTCCTGACACCCAGAAGTACTAAAACAAAAATTTTTACATGAAATATAGATGTAGTACATAAACAATACAATGGGACATGATGAATGAAACATTAACAGCATAACACTTACCTTTATTGGCGATTCTTCTTAGTGTATGGAAGACTGGAGGAGGAGACAGATTGCATTAGTTACTCTTTGGAAGGGGAATCCCCTTCCATCAACACCTCAGGTACCAAGTGCTTTTCTGGGGTTACTTCTCTGTTTCTTAATGCCACTAGGACCAGCTTGAGAGTCACTGGAGTCCTGTCTAGCAAAATAACTGTCCAGAGAGCTCTGTTTCTGGCATCTCTTTAACACCTTCCTAAAATAGGCCAAGATTTTATCACTGTACATGTTGCCAACATGGCTTGCAACAGCCTTGTCAGGGTGATGTTTCTCCATAAATCTTTCCATCTTACCCCACATTTCAAAAATCTTAGTTTCTGAAGAAGGCAACTTCTTCCATCTCTCTTCCTCCTCTGCAGCAAGATTCTGAGATGCGATCTGTTGCTCTCCTGCTGAAGCTCTTGCAGCTCCTCAGTGGTGAGCTCTTCATTGTGGTCTTCCACCAACTCTTCCACATCCTCCAAACTCACATCCAACCCCATGGAACTCCCCAGTGCCACAATAGATTTAACAACTGACATAGGCTCATCAGGGTCAGCCCTAAACCCTTCAAAATCTCTCTTGTGGGCACAATCTGGCCACAATTTTCTCCAAGCAGAGTTCAAAGTCCTGGTAGTCACTCCCTCCCAAGCCTTACCTATAAGGCTTTTGCAATGGAGGATGGTGAAGTGTTCTTTCCAAAAATCTCTTAGGGTCAAGTGAGTGTCTGAGGTCACATTAAAGCACCTTTGAAACATTGCTTTGGTGTAGAGTTTTTTAAAGTTTGCATTGACCTGCTGGTCAATGGGCTGGAGGAGAGGAGTGGTATTCGGGGGCAAGAACTTTACTGTGATAAACCCAAACTCCTCCAAAATTAGGTCATCCAAGTCTGGAGGATGAGCAGGTGCATTGTCCATTACTAGAAGGCACTTGACATCCAATTTCTTTTCCAGGAGGTAATTCTTCACACTAGGGCCAAACACTTCATTGAATTACTCGACGAAAATTTCCCTCGTGACCCATGCCTTACTATTAGATTTCCAAAACACACACAATTTACTCTTCATAACATTGTTTTTCCTGAACACACTGGGATTTTCAGAATGGTACACTAGTAACAGCTTCACTCTGAAATCCCCACTAGCATTAGCACAGAACATGAGCTTCAGCCTGTCTTTCATATGCTTGTGTCCTGGCAGTCCCTTTTCCTCCTGAGTAATGTAGGTCCTCTTTGGCATTTTCTTCCAAAAGAGGCCTGTTTCGTCACAATTGAACACTTGTTCAGGTTTCAGTCCTTCAGCTTCTATGTACTCCTTGAATTCATGCACATATTTTTCAGCCGCTTTTTGGTCCGAACTGGCAGCCTCACCGTGCCTTACCACACTGTGTATGCCACTACGGTTCTTAAATCTCTCAAACCAACCTTTGCTGGCCTTAAATTCACAAATATCAGTACTCGTTGCAGGCAATTTCTTTACTAGATCGTCGTGCAACTGCCTAGCCTTTTCACAAATAATCGACGTCATAAGACTATCTCCTGCTAATTGTTTCTCGTTTATCCACACCAATAATAACTTCTCAACATCTTCGAGTACTGGTGATCTCATTTTTGTCAGCATATTTACCCCCTTTGCAACAACAGCTTCCTTGATTTCCTTTTTCTTGGCCACGATGGAAGCTATGGTTGTATGGGGTTTGTTATACATCCTGGCCAGTTCAGCCACACGTATGCCACTTTCATATTGTTCAATGATGTTTTTCTTAAATTCAGTCGTATTTCTCGCCTTCTTTACCAAAGGCTTGGCACTAGGAGCTTTCTTTGGAGCCATGGTAGCTTATTTAGTAGTTGCAAGCACTAAAATGAATGGAATATTAGGAAATATTTCGTATGAGCAAATGAGGAGACCGTCGTTCACTGGTAAACAGTGGCACACTGGCTGGGAAGGGAGGCCGGGGCGACTCAGAGTGTGAGTACGCGTTCCAGACGAATGACTTCGCTAGTCAAACTACGATTGGCGAGCCAATGTTTTGACGAAAATATCGTTACGATTTTCGAAAATTACGACTATTGAGCCTTACGATTATCGAGGGACCACTGTATGTAAATCTAGTTTGTTTTTGCAGGCTGCTCATTAATAAAAACAGATCCTCAAATTCTGTGAATTTAGAGGGCTGATTATACTAAACATAATTGTAATTCTTAAAATTCCTTGTGTGTGAAACAGAGTATGAAGCATTTTTACATCGAGTTCATTACAGAGGTACTCGTTCAAACATCCTCGTCCTGACAAACCTATCAGCTTGAAGGTGTACGAGTGCCACATTGGTATTGGCACTGACCAGCTTAAAGTTGGAACCTACAAGGAATTCTCTAGGAATGTTCTGCCAAGGATAGTGAAACTGGGTAAGTTACTAGTATTCACCTATTTGTAGCTATAGGAGGAGCAGAGCTATGCTTGTGGTGTACCATCTTCAATAATTATTTTGTGTAATTTTTTTTTATTTCCAATAGTTGCAGGACCTACTACTATTTTAATCCGGTTCTACTACACTGTAAGAAGACTTTTTATATATTTTTATTTTTTTTTGCCCCACTTGTTTTTGTTTTTTTATTCCTCCTGTTGGAGGTAAAGGCACTAATGAACTTCATTATCTTTGCTTTCATATCCTTTTATGAGCTTTGTGGTGGTTATTATTCTCTTCTTTTCTTGCTTTCTGCTACTGAGGGCATCTAGTGCTTTCACCTTTTCACAGTGACTCATATTTTTAAGCTATAGTGCATATTTTGTAGCTTCTTTTTTATATCTCTTCTGTCTTATCCCCTTTTTATAATTTTGGGCACCATACATCCACTTATTTCAGTTTTAGTCTTAACATGTTATAAACAGCTTATTTAGCATTTTTCCATCTACATATTTGAAAGCTGTTTTATTGTTTTCTAATGTTAAATGAAAGTTTCACAATTTTGTTTGTGATCTTCTGCCGACTTTTGTATAAAATTGCTCGTAGATCTTTCTCTAAGACACTTGGTCTTTTATCACACAATTTTTATTTTTTCTCCATGGGGAAGTGGAACAGAATTCTTCCTCCATAAGCCATGTGTGTCATAAGAGGCAACTAAAATGCTGGGATCAAGAGGCTAGTAACATCCTTCTCATGTACATATATACATGTATTACTAAAGTTAAAAAGAGAAACTTTCGTTTTTTATTTTTGGGCCACACTGCTTCAGTGGGATACAACTGGTTTGTTGAAAGAAAAATCTTTATTTTTCATGTGATCTGTATCCATTTTTTTTTTTCCATTTCCTTGCAGTGATCATGCCACTATTTTTATTTGTTCAACTATTTTTGTTTTGGAAATCCGAAGTTAGTAATTAATTAAACTCTTAGTAACAAGAAGCATAATTTTTCATAAATTATTTTAGTAAATAATATTACTGTAATAAAATGTTAGTTTAGTGTAAGTGAAATTAAAGAACTTGGACATCCAGCAGGCATATGAGCATGTTAGATAGGGGTGAGTGGAGGCAAATGGTTTTTGGGATTTATGAGCTGTTGGAGTGTGAGCAAGGTAACATTTTGCAAAGGGATGCAGTGAAACTGGTTAGCTGGACTTAGTCCTGGATGTGGGAAGTATAGTGCCTGCACTCTGAAGGAGGGAAGGAGGAAAATCTGAACAATAGTGTCAGCATGCCTCTAGCAAGACTGTGATGGAATGAAAGATGGTGAAAGTGTTTCTTTTTTGGGTCACCCTACCTCAGTGGGAGACAGTCAGCTAAAAAAAAAAATTATCTTTGATAACCCCTGTTGGAATACAACATATTGTATGTAGAATAAAATGTTATAAATAAAATCATAATTATTAGGTCATTAACATAAATGTTTATGCAAACATTAAATGATAATTTCTCTTTTAGGTTATAATGCCATCCAAGTAATGGCAATCATGGAGCATGCATATTATGCCAGCTTTGGCTATCAGGTCACCAGCTTCTTTGCTGCATCAAGGTGAGTACCCCTATATACCAAAAATTGCAAATAGAACCGCATATAAGATTTAGAACATAATTTAGAGGCTATTTTATAAATAAACATTGCAGGAGGTTATAGATCTCGCAAAGGAACTCGCAGAGTTATGCCTTTAGCAAGGGCAACATTCACATATGAACTTTGGTTTAAAAAGTTAGCTTTAAAAATCTGTATGCATATTAAAATTGGTAGAATTTATTTTTCTGAACATTATTTTTTATACTATATGCTTAACAATTCGCAGACAGGCGAAATTATTTAAAAAATATTCTCTCTCAGTTCACACAGCAGGATTCAAACCTGCAAACTTGGCATCAGAATACACAGCACCTTATCCACACAGCCAGACTTCTGGAATCTGGCTATGTAGATAATGTACTGGAATCTGGTTGTGTGGATAATGTACTGTGTACTTGGATGCCGAGTTTGCAAGTTCGAATCCTGTCATGGACCGAGAGATTAACATACACTGTAATAATATTTAAGGCAGTTTCAGTAACATTCAGGTGACTTTGCTCCTTGTAAAGTTGTGGCCTCCTATATATCTGGCAGTGGGAAGGAAAACACAGAGAGAATTACAGAACTTTGAGTCACATTCCTAGATGAAGGTCAGCTCTTAAGTATGTACATTAATATACTTTTTTTTCCAAGCACAAGTGAGGTCAGAAATGGTAAAATATGGAAAAATATTTTGATTTGCTTTATGATCTTAGGTCATTGAATTACTGCTGCTTCTAAATATGTTTTAGATTTATGTGATTCCTTAACAGTGATTTATACTTTGAACTAATACAGTGGACCCCTGCATAACGATATTAATCCGTTCATGAGAGCTCATTGGTATGCGAAATTATCGTTATGCGAATGAATTTTCCCCATAAGAAATAATGGAAATCAAATTAATCCGTGCAAGACACCCAAAAGTATGAAAAAAAAAAAATTTTTACCACATGAAATATACATTTTCCTACACACAAAGAGAAGGATACATGCACAATAGTAGAGTAGTACATGCACAGTATATATTGTGCATGTACTACTCTACTAAATGAAGAATAAATGACACCTTTATTGAAGATGCAGCAATGACTGATGAGACACTGTGTCCTGGGAGTGCCTTTTCCTCCTGAGTACTGTAGGTCCTGTTTGGAATTTTCTTCCAGAACAGGCCTTATCACACTGTGTATGCCACTATGATTCTTAAATCTCTCAAACCAACCTTTGCTGGCTTTAAATTCACCAATATGAGCACTAGTTCCAGGCGTTTTTCCCTGTTCACCTGGGTGTTAGTCGACTGGTGTGGGTTGCATCCTGAGAGACAAGATTAAGGACCCCAGTGGAAATAAATTAGAGAGTCCTCGATGATGCACTGACTTTCTTGGGTTATCCTGGGTGGCTAACCCTCCGGGGCTAATCGTTTCTCGGTAATTGTTTCACGTTAAGCCACACCAACAACACACACTCCACATCTTCGAGTAATACAGCTGATGGTGGTGCAGCAACATCAACAGCTGTGGTGCAGCTGACCATGGTGCAGCAGCAGCTGTGGTGCAGCAACAGCTGACCATGGTGCAGCTGTGGTGAAGCAACAGCTGACTTGTCCAATTTATCAGGTGATCGTGGTGCAGCAGCAGCAGCTGACTGTGGTACGATAGTATTTATCACCCTTTTTACCACAGGGTTGGCACTAGAAGCTTTCTTTGGGCCCATGGTGGCTTATTTAGCAGTTACAAGCACTATAAATAATGGAATAATACAAAATGTATCGAATGTATGCATGCAACCGGCCACCCTGGCTTGTAAACAATGACAGCAAGGCAGGCGCTCAGGCTGGACGGACAGGTTCGGGACAGATTCGGGACGAGTCATGTTCAGAAACAGGTGATGATGGTGCAACAGCAACTGACCGTGGTGCAGCAGCAGCTGACTGATCCAGCAACAGCTGACTGGTCCAGCAACAGCTGACTGGTCCAGCAACAGCTGACCGTGGTGCAGCAACAGCTGACTGGTCCAGCAACAGCTGACCGTGGTGCAGCAGCAGCTGACTGGTCCAGCAACAGCTGATCGTGGTGCAGCAGCAGCTGACTGGTCCAGCAACAGCTGATCGTGGTGCAGCAGCAGCTGACTGATCCAGCAACAGCTGACTGGTCCAGCAACAGCTGATTGTGGTGTAGCAGCAGCTGACTGATCCAGCAACAGCTGACTGGTCCAGCAACAGCTGAACGAGGTGCAGCAGCAGCTGACTGATCCAGCAACAGCTGACTGGTCAAGCAACAGCTGACCGTGGAGCAGCAGCAGCTGACTGTGGTATGATAGTATTTCTCACCCTTTTTACCACTGGGTTAGCACTAGAGGCTTTCTTGGGGCCCATGGTCACTTATTTTGCAGATGAAATCACCAAAAACGCTGTAATAATACGAAATGTTCCGATTGTATGTTGGATGTTACCGCAGAGGCTGGCTTGTAAACAATGCCACCAGCGGAACATGTGAAGCTGGCTCAGGCCGCACATTAGAAGCGTCTCGGACGAATAGCGTTGAGTGAGTTTTTTAGCGGTATGCGAGGCAAAATTTTAGTGATAAAATGTATCGGTATGCGGATTTAACGTTATGTGATGCCAACGGTATGCGAGGGTCCACTGTACATGGCATGAAAACGTAGGTCTCAGTGTATTAAGAAGACATTGTTGGTGTTAGTTTTCAAAGCAGAATCATGCTTATGTAGATTGAGTTGCTATCTCTTTAGGGAATTACTGAAACTGGAAATATTTTTAATGGCTTAACAAATATCAGACTTGGAAAGACTACTTGTCTCAGTGATGCTTCGGGCAGCCTGACATATTGGTAGGAAGTTATGTAGGCTGCTGGGTTTTATTCATTGAAATGCTCTTGGCTCTGTTTGTCTGTCAGGAAAGTGTTAGGAAAGTTTAGCTGGTAAAAGAATTGACTATCATTTATAATCTCGTTGTGAATTATAATCTCTTCTCATTTCATTTAAAAATAAAATTTTTATTTATACATGTACCTTTAAAATCTTACCTTATAACTAAACCTTTTTTAAATTTTCTATCTGTTTTTATTTGCATAAATATTTACACTTGGTTCCCCTGAACATAAATGTAAAGAGGCAAAAATACAGTACAGTACTTGATGGGCATATTTCTGAAGAATTATGCAGTGGAACCTCGGTTTTCGTCTTTAATCTGTTCCAGAGAGTCTGACGAAAACTGTAGCAATATTTCCCATAAGAAATAATGTAAATCCAATTAATCCGTTCCAGACACCCAAAAATATTAACAAAAAATACATTTTATAGAGAATAACTATAGTTTTACATACAAAAAACAATGAGAAATAAATATAAAGGACTAATGAAATGGATAAATGAACATTTAAATCACTTTTACCTTTATTGAAGACTTGTTGACGTATGGAAGACGGCGAGGAGGGGAGAGGGAGGAGAGGCTATCACTGCCACCATCACTACCACCATCACTACCACCATCACTACCACCACCATCACTACCACCACCATCACTACCACCACCATCACTACCACCACCACACTACACCACACCATCACACCACCACCCCATCACTACCACCACCATCACTACCACCACCTCACTACCACCACCACCACCACACCACCATCACTACCCACCACCACACTACCACCACCATCACTACCCACCACCATCACTACCAGCACCATCACACACCACCACCATCACTACCACCACACAGCAGCAGCAGCCACCACCACATCACCACCACCACCACCCACCACCACCACCCACCACCACCACACCACCACACACATCCACCACACCACCACCACCACCCACCACCACCACCCACACACCACCACCTCACCACACCCCACCCACCACACACACCATCCCACCCCACCACCCACACCACCACCACCATCACCACCACCATCACCATCACCATCATCATCATCATCATCATCTAATGGTAGTGGGTTTGTGTCAACCATCTTTGATATTGTTTTAATGTCACCTTTGCACCATTTATAACATTTCTGGTATATTTTTAAATGTTTATACAGTAGTGTACTGTATATTGAAATAAACAAAATAGAGGAAATCAGCTCTAATATACATTATTTAGGTATAAATACTGGTCAGAGAGCCCGTCGTAAGTCCGAGGCATCAGTAAACGAGTGCATCGTTAAGTGAGGAGAGGCTGTATTTAGTTTTCTAGTATTATACAAGATTACTTACATTAACAAAATAAGGGCACGATACCATGACTGGAACGATACACAAATAACCCGCACATAGAAGAGAAGAGCTTATGACGATGTTTCAGTCCGACTTGGTCTGACTTTGTAAATGGTCCAAGTCGGACCGAAACATCGTCATAAACTCTTCTCCTCTATGTGCGGGTTATTTGTGTATTACTTATATTTCTTGAGTTAATCATGATCCATGTAAATGCTGTACTATTTTTCAGCCGTTATGGTACACCAGAGGAATTAAAGGAGATGATTGATACAGCACACTCCATGGGTCTGTTTGTCCTCCTAGACGTTGTTCACTCGCATGCCTCGAAGAATGTGCTTGATGGCCTTAATGAATTTGATGGCTCAGACTCCTGTTATTTCCATGGTGGCTCAAGGGGAACTCATTCTCTTTGGGACTCTAGGCTCTTCAATTATTCCAAGTAAATATTTTTGAGAAACTTAGTGCTGTATAAGGTTTAAACATAGAAAAATTAAGAAAGTGGTAAACTCCCTCTCCTATGTTCATTATATGTATCAATTAGAATCTTGTTTTTTATGTACTAGTTTTCTTGCACTTCAGAATAAGTGCTCACTAGTAAATAGCATCTCAGTAGCTCTGAAAATTTAAATTGAAGTAGGGACAATTTTGAGAATGCATTAATTTAAAATGCAAGTGTGGGGAGGTGTGTGAGGCATTGGGTAAAATGAAAGTGGGTACAGCAGCTGGAACTGATGGCATCATGACAGAAGTGTTAAAAACAGGTGGAGATATAGTTTTGGAGTGGTTTGTTCAATAAATGCATGAAAGAACATGCAAAGTTCCTTTATGTAAAGGGAAGGGAGACAAAAGAGAGTGTAAAAATTATAAGGGAATAAACCTACTGAGTATATCAGGTAAAGTGTATGGTAGGGTTATTATTGAAAGAATTAGAGGTAAGACAGAGAGCGGGATCGCAAATGAACAAGTAGGCTTTAGAATGGACAGGGGATGTATAGACCAAGTGTTTACATTGAAGCATATAAGTGAACAATATTTAGATAAATGTAGGGCAGTTTTTGTTGCTTTTATGAATTTAGACAAGGCATAATGATAGTGGATAGGGGGACAATGTAGCAGATATTGTAAGTGTATGGAATAGGTAGTAAGTTACTAAATGCTGTAAGGACTTGTATAAGGATAGTGAGGCTGAGGTAAGGGTGTATAGGAGAGAGGGAGATTACCTTCCAGTAAAAGTAAGCCTTAGACAGGGATGTGTGATGTCACCATGGTTGTTTAACATATTTATAGATGAGGTTGTAAAAGAAGTAAATGCTAGGGTGTCGGGAGAGGTGGGATTAAATTATGTGGAATCAAATACAAAATGGGAGTTGACACAGTTACTTTTTGCTGATACTGTGCTTTTGGGAGATTTTGAAGAGAAGTTGCAAAGGTAAGTGGACAAGTTTGGAAGGGTGTGTAAAGGAAGAAAGTTGAAAGTGAGCATAGATAAGAGTAAGGTGATGAGAGTATCAAACAATTTAGATAAGGAAAAATTGGACATCAATTTGGAGAGAGGAAGTATAGAAGTGAATGTGTTCAGATACTTCAAATTAGACTTGTTGGCAGATGGGTTTATGAAGGATGAAATAAACCATAGAATTAATGAAGGAAAAAAGGAGGGCGGTGCATTGAGGTATCTGTGGAGACAAAGAACATTATCCATGGAGGCAAAGAAAGGAATGTATGAGAGTATAATGGTACCAACACTTTTATATGGGTGTAAAATATGGGTTGTGAATGTTGCAGCGAGAAGGAGACTAGAAGCAGTGGAGATGTGTAAGTGCAATGTGTGGTGTAAATATTATGCAGAGATATTTGTAGTGTGGAAATTAGGAAGAGGTGTGGAGTTACTAAAAGTATTATTCAGAGGGCTGAGGAGGGGTTGTTGAAGTGGTTTGATCATTTAGAGAGGATGGAGCAAAATAGGATGACTTTGAGGGTGTATAAATCTGTAGTGGAGGGGTAGGGGTCATCCTAGGAGAGGTTGGAGGGAGGGGGGTAAAAGAGGTTTTGTATGCAAGTGGCTTGGACATACAACAGGCATGTGTGAGTGTGTTAGATAGGAGTGAGTGGAGATAAATGGTTTTTGGGACTTGACAAGCTGTTAGTGTGAGAGCAAGGTAATATTTTGTGAAGGGATTCAAAGAAACTGGTTAGCTGGACTTGAGTCCTGGATGTGGGAAGTACAGAACCAACACTGTAAAGGAGGGGTTTAGAATATTTGCTGTTTAATGTAACATCTAAATTAGCATTTCTGCACACTTTTGGAAAGACAGTGATAAATGTGAATGATGGTGATTTTTTTTTTTTTTTTTTACTCTGCCTCGGTGGGAGACTGCCAGCATGTTTAACCCTTAAACTGTCTAAACGTAGATCTATGTTTGCATGTGTAGTTCTCCGACCTTGATTTTCTCCATTTGAAAGCATGTAAAAAAAACGTAGACCTACGTTCGGAGCTCCCCCGCACTTGGACATAGATCTACATTAGGACAGTGTAAGGGTTAAAAAAAAAATATATATATATATATATGGTACAGAAGATTTAAGAGATACATTGTTGATATAAAGGTGGCATATAAGGTACATGTTGTTACGTGTGTATCACCGATTATAAGGCGAAAATCTCATCCAGCTCCTCAGAGCTGGGGCGTGTACCCAAAATACAGCAGGCATTACCCCTTTGAACAGCCGCACTGAGCCGCTGGAACAGAAAACTAGCTGCCCTGGGATCCCTGGTTACCCTGATGAGTCTTTTTCCCAGCTCCTTAAGGAATTTAGATGCACTCTTTCCCCATGAGCCAAGGGTCTCTGAGCCTATGGGAACAAACATATAATGATGGGCAAGTTCTCCATATTTTCTAGACTTTTGGGACTCCCTGAAGCTGGCAGCTGCCCCTCCTTCCTCCCTGGTGTATTGGAGATAGGTATCAGCCAAGGTAGATACACATGTATATATATAGTACATTTTTTTTTTTTTCTTCAACAAGTCGGCCGTCTCCCACCGAGGCAGGGTGACCCAAAAAAGAAAGAAAATCCCCAAAAAGAAAATACTTTCATCATCATTCAACACTTTCACCACACTCACACATTATCACTGCTTTTGCAGAGGTGCTCAGAATACAACAGCTTAGAAGCATATATGTATAAAGATACACAACATATCCCTCCAAACTGCCAATATCCCAAACCCCTCCTTTAAAGTGCAGGCATTGTACTTCCCATTTCCAGGACTCAAGTCCGACTATATGAACATACCCGGTTTCCCTGAATCCCTTCACTAAATATTACCCTGCTCACACTCCAATAGATCATCAGGTCCCAAGTATCATTCGCCTCCATTCACTCCTATCTAACACGCTCATGCACGCTTGCTGGAAGTCCAAGCCCCTAGCCCACAAAACCTCCTTTACCCCCTCTTTCCAACCCTTTCGAGGACGACCCCTACCCCTCCTTCCTTCCCCTATAGATTTATATGCTTTCCATGTCATTCTACTTTGATCCATTCTCTCTAAATGACCAAACCACCTCAACAACCCCTCTTCTGCCCTCTGACTAATGCTTTTATTAACTCCACACCTTCTCCTAATTTCCACACTCCGAATTTTCTCATAATATTTACACCACACATTGCCCTTAGACAGGACATCTCCACTGCCTCCAACCATCTCCTCGCTGCTGCATTTACCACCCAAGCTTCACATCCATATAAGAGTGTTGGTACTACTATACTTTCATACATTCCCTTCTTTGCCTCCATAGATAACGTTTTTTGACTCCACATATACCTCAACACACCACTCACCTTTTTTTCCCTCATCAATTCTATGATTAACCTCATCCTTCATAAGTCCATCCGCCGACACGTCAACTCCCAAGTATCTGAAAACATTCACTTCTTCCATACTCCTCCTCCCCAATTTGATATCCAATTTTTCTTTATCTAAATCATTTGATACCCTCATCACCTTACTCTTTTCTATGTTCACTTTCAACTTTCTATCTTTACACACATTCTCAAACTCATCCACTAACCTTTGCAATTTTTCTTTAGAATCTCCCATAAGCACAGTATCATCAGCAAAAAGTAACTGTGTCAATTCCCATTTTGAATTTGATTCCCCATAATTTAATCCCACCCCTCTCCCAAACACCCTAGCATTTACTTCTTTTACAACCCCATCTATAAATATATTAAACAACCATGGTGACATTACACATCCCTGTCTAAGACCTACTTTTACCAGAAAGTATTCTCCCTCTCTTCTACACACCCTAACCTGAGCCTCACTATCCTCATAAAAGCTCTTTACAGCATTTAGTAACTTACCACCTATTCCATATACTTGCAACATCTGCCACATTGCTCCTCTATCCACTCTATCATATTTTTTTTTTTTTTTTTTTATTATCACACTGGCCGATTCCCACCAAGGCAGGGTGGCCCGAAAAAGAAAAACTTTCACCATCATTCACTCCATCACTGTCTTGCCAGAAGGGTGCTTTACACTACAGTTTTTAAACTGCAACATTAACACCCCTCCTTCAGAGTGCAGGCACTGTACTTCCCATCTCCAGGACTCAAGTCCGGCCTGCCGGTTTCCCTGAACCCCTTCATAAATGTTACTTTGCTCACACTCCAACAGCACGTCAAGTATTAAAAACCATTCGTCTCCATTCACTCTTATCAAACACGCTCAGGCACGCCTGCTGGAAGTCCAAGCCCCTCACACACAAAACCTCCTTTACCCCCTCCCTCCAACCTTTCCTAGGCCGACCCCTACCCCGCCTTCCTTCCACTACAGACTGATACACTCTTGAAGTCATTCTGTTTCGCTCCATTCTCTCTACATGTCCGAACCACCTCAACAACCCTTCCTCAGCCCTCTGGACAACAGTTTTGGTAATCCCGCACCTCCTCCTAACTTCCAAACTACGAATTCTCTGCATTATATTCACACCACACATTGCCCTCAGACATAACATCTCCACTGCCTCCAGCCTTCTCCTCGCTGCAACATTCATCACCCATGCTTCACTATACTATATACATATACTATACTCTCATACATTCCCCTCTTTGCCTCCAAGGACAAAGTTCTTTGTCTCCACAGACTCCTAAGTGCACCACTCACCCTTTTCCCCTCATCAATTCTATGATTCACCTCATCCTTCATAGACCCATCCGCTGACACGTCCACTCCCAAATATCTGAATACATTCACCTCCTCCATACTCTCTCCCTCCAATCTGATATCCAATCTTTCATCACCTAATATTTTTGTTATCCTCATAACCTTACTCTTTCCTGTATTCACTTTTAATTTTCTTCTTTTGCACACCCTACCAAATTCATCCACCAATCTCTGCAACTTCTCTTCAGAATCTCCCAAGAGCACAGTGTCATCAGCAAAGAGCAACTGTGACAACTCCCACTTTATGTGTGATTCTTTATCTTTTAACTCCACGCCTTTTGTCAAGACCCCTCGCATTTACTTCTTTTACAACCCCATCTATAAATATATTAAACAACCACGGTGACATCACACATCCTTGTCTAAGGCCTACTTTTACTGGGAAACAATTTCCCTCTTTCCTATGTACTCTAACTTGAGCCTCACTATCCTCGTAAAAACTCCTCACTGCTTTCAGTAACCTACCTACCTACACCATACACCTGCAACATCTGCCACATTGCCCCCCTATCCACCCTGTCATACGCCTTTTCCAAATCCATAAATGCCACAAAGACCTCTTTAGCCTTATCTAAATACTGTTCACTTATATGTTTCACTGTAAAGACCTGGTCCACACACCCCCTACCTTTCCTAAAGCCTCCTTGTTCATCTGCTGTCCTATTATCCGTCTTGCTTTTAATTCTTTCAATAATAACTCTACCATACACTTTACCAGGTATACTCAACAGACTTATCCCCCTATAATTTTTGCACTCTTTTGTCCCCTTTGCCTTTATACAAAGGAACTATGCATGCTCTCTGCCAATCCCTAGGTACCTTACCCTCTTCCATACATTTATTAAATAATTGCACCAACCACTCCAAAACAATATCCCCACCTGCTTTTAACATTTCTATCTTTATCCCATCAATCCCGGCTGCCTTACCCCCTTTCATTTTACCTACTGCCTCACGAACTTCCCCCACACTCACAACTGGCTCTTCCTCACTCCTACAAGATGTTATTCCTCCTTGCCCTATACACGAAATCACAGCTTCCCTATCTTCATCAACATTTAACAATTCCTCAAAATATTCCCTCCATCTTCTCAATACCTCTAACTCTCCATTTAATAACTCTCCTCTCCTATTTTTAACTGACAAATCCATTTGTTCTCTAGGCTTCCTTAACTTGTTAATCTGACTCCAAAACTTTTTCTTATTTTCAACAAAATTTGTTGATAACATCTCACCCACTCTCTCATTTGCTCTCTTTTTACATTGCTTCACCACTCTCTTAACCTCTCTTCTTTTTCTCCATATACTCTTCCCTCCTTGCATCACTTCTACTTTGTAAAAACTTCTCATATGCTAACTTTTTCTCCCTTACTACTCTCTTTACATCATCATTCCACCAATCGCTCATCTTCCCTTCTGCACCCACTTTCCTGTAACCACAAACTTCTGCTGAACACTCTAACACTACATTTTTAAACCTACCCCATACCTCTTCGACCCCATTGTCTATGCTCTCATTAGCCCATCTATCCTCCAATAGCTGTTTATATCTTTCCCTAACTGCCTCCTCTTTTATTTTATAAACCTTCACCTCTCTCTTCCCTGATGCTTCTATTCTCCTTGTATCCCATCTACCTTTTACTCTCGGTGTAGCTACAACTAGAAAGTGATCCGATATATCTGTGGCCCCTCTATAAACATGTACATCCTGAAGTCTACTCAACAGTCTTTTATCTACCAATACATAATCCAACAAACTACTATCATTTTGCCCTACATCATATCTTGTATACTTATTTATCCTCTTTTTCTTAAAATATGTATTACCTATAACTAAACCCCTTTCTATACGAAGTTCAATCAAAGGGCTCCCATTATCATTTACACCTGGCACCCCAAACTTACCTACCACACCCTCTCTAAAAGTTTCTCCTACTTTAGCATTCAGGTCCCCTACCACAATTACTCTCTCACTTGGTTCAAAGGCTCCTATACATTCACTTAACATCTCCCAAAATCTCTCTCTCTCTCTGCATTCCTCTCTTCTCCAGGTGCATACACGCTTACTATGACCCACTTCTCGCATCCAACCTTTACTTTAATCCACATAATTCTTGCATTTACACATTCATATTCTCTTTTCTCCTTCCATAACTGATCATTCAACATCTATCAACTCTATCATATGTCTTTTCTAAATCCATAAATGCAATAAAAACTTCCCTACCTTTATCTAAATACTGTTCACATATATGCTTCAATGTAAACACTTGATCTACACATCCCCTACCCACTCTGAAGCCTCCCTGCTCATCCACAATCCTACATTCTGTCTTACCTCTAATTCTTTCAATTATAACCCTTCGTATACTTTTCCTGGTATACTCAGTAAACTTATTCCTCTATAATTTTTACAATCTCTTTTGTCCCCTTTCCCTTTATATAAAGGGACTATACATGCTCTCCGCCAATCCCTAGGTACCTTCCCCTCTTTCATACATTTATTAAACAAAAGTACCAACCACTCCAACACTATATCCCCCCCTGCTTTTAACATTTCTGTCATGATCCCATCAGTTCCAGCTGCTTTACCCCCTTTCATTCTACGTAATGCCTCGCGTACCTCCACCACACTTACATTCTGCTCTTCTTCACTCCTAAAAGATGGTATATACTCATATATATAGTTTATTAAATGCAGTAGTTTTAGAAAATAATGCATGTCATACTGATTTTTAAATTACTGTAGTTACAGATCACTTGAGTATATATTACATATATCTAAAAATCTATATTAGTCTGTATGTACTTTGTTTTCAGCCTAGCTTTATATTCTTTTGCAAAAAGTGAATCAAGAACTAAAACTAGACTTTAACAAATATTTAGAATTTTTGTTTTCCAAAAGTAACTACATGTATATATATTGACTTTTCTTATCAAAAGCTCATGTACTACGATATAGTGACATTCTTCAGTCAGAAATATTTCTAGCGGTATACATTAAATTCTTGCCTAATAAAGTTTTTTATTTAAATTCTTTCAGTTGGGAGGTGTTGCGTTTCCTGCTGTCAAACCTGCGATGGTATCTTGAAGAATACAGATTTGATGGTTTCAGGTACAGTATGTATAATACAGTAGACTGTCATTTAACACAGGTTTATTTGCCACAATTTGGTTATAGCACAATTGGAGAATTGCTGCACAATTTTATACAACACTTCGTGAAATTAACTTAACACGGTTCAGTTTGTAGAAGGGGAAAAAAAAGTCGGCCGTCTCACACCTGAGGCAGGGTGACCCAAAAAGAAAGAAAAACCCCAAAAAGAAAATACTTTCATCATCATTCAACACTTTCACCTCACTCGCATATAATCACTGTTTTTGCAGAGGTGCCCAGAATACAACAGTTTAGAAGTATATACGTATAAAAATAGACAATATATCTCTCCAAACTGCCAATATCCCGAACCCCTTCTTCAGGGTGCAGGCATTGTACTTCCCATTTCCAGGACTCAAGTCCGGTTATATAAAATAACCAGTTTCCCTGAATCCCTTCACTAAATATTACCCTGCTCACACTCCAACAGCTTGTCAGGTCCCAAATACTATTTGTCTCCATTCACTCCTATCTAACACTCTCATGCACACTTGCTGGAAGTCCAAACCCCTCGCCCACAACACCTCCTTTACCCCCTCCCTCCAACATTTTTGAGGACGACCCCTACCCCGCCTTCCTTCTCCTATAGATTTATGCACTCTCCATGTCATTCTACTTTGATCCATTCTCTCTAAATGACCAAACCACCTCAACAAACCCTCTTCAGCCCTCTGACTAATACTTTTATTAACTCCACACCTTCTCCTAATTTCCACACTCCGAATTTTCTGCATAATATTTACACCACACATTGCCCTTAGACAGGACATCTCCACTGCCTCCAACCGCCTTCTCACTGCAGCATTCACAACCCAAGCTTCACACCCATATAAGAGTGTTGGTGCTACTATACTTTCATACATTCCCTTCTTTGCCTCCATAGATAACATTTTTTGCCTCCACATATACCTCAATGCACCACTCGCCTTTTTTCCTTCATCAATTCTATGATTAACCTCATCCTTCATAAATCCATCCGCTGACACATCAACTCCCAAATATCTGAAAACATTCACTTCTTCCATACTCCTCCTCCCCAATTTGATATCCAATTTTTCTTTATCTAAATCATTTGATACTCTCATCACTTTACTCTTTTCTATGTTCACTTTCAACTTTCTGCTTTTACACACACACCCAAATTCGTCCACTAACCTTTGCAATTCTTCTTTAGAATCTCCCATGAGCACAGTATCATCAGCAAAAAGTAACTGTCACTTCCCATTTTGTATTTAATTCCCCATAATTTAATCCCACCTCTCCCCACACCCTAGCATTTACTTCTTTTACAACCCCATCTATAAATATATTAAACAACCATGGTGACATTACACATCCCTGTCTAAGACCTACCTATTTTAATTGCCATATCTTACATCTGTCAAGCAATCATGGCACCCAGTAGACATACAAGTGTTGCTGAAAGTTGCAAGAAAAGGTATAAGCATTTAACCCGTAAACGGTCCAAACATATATATACGTTCACTACCTCAGTGCCCCGAATATTTTGAAAAATAAAAAATTCTTTTTTTTTTTTTTTTAATGAAAATAAGAGTACATTTTTCTAAGTGTTATAGGATAAAAAAAAATTATGGTCAGTACTTACAGAGATCCTAGGTAGTAGGTTGGTAGACAGCAACTGCCCAGGGAGGTACTACCGTCCTGCCAACTGAGTGTAAAACTGAAACTTGTAATTGTTTTACAAGATGGTAGGATTGCTGGTGTCTTTTTTCTGTCTCATAAACATGCAAGATTTCGGGTATGTCTTGCTACTTCTGCTTACACTTAGGTCACACTACACATACATGTACATATATATATACACACCCCTCTGGGTTTTCTTCTATTTTCTTTCTAGTTCATGTTTATTTCCTCTTATCTCCATGGGGAAGTGAACCAGAATTCTTCCTCCGTAAGCCATGCGTGTTGTAAGAGGCGACTAAAATGCCGGGGGCAAGGGGCCAGTAACCCCTTCTCTTGTATAAATTACTAAATTTAGAAAGAGAAACTTTCGTTTTTCTTTTCGGGCTACCCTGCCTTGGTTGGGAGACGGCCAATTTGTTGAAAAAAAAGAAAAAAAAACTTAGAGATATGAGGCCGAGAAGTTAGCACTAGAGGCTCATGTGACAGCAACATCGAGTCCTGCCGCTTGCAGAAGTGTTGCCGATGTACCTTTTTTCTATTTTTCATATTATTTTATATAATTTTTATGTTCTGATAATTACAATTTATAGTAGTTCTTGTTATTTCATAAACAATCTTTATTCTGACATTAGTATTAGGTACTGAAATTGTATTCAAATTGTCACAAACACACTAACGGGTAGACATTTATACCTGCTTCGGCCATTTACTATTGCCTTGGAATATATACAAAGTATTTATAGGTCCCAGCAATGTTTTGGATATGTGGAAGTATATTATAATAATAATAATAATAATAATAATAATAATAATAATAATAATAATAATAATAATAATAATACATAATACAGTGGACCCCAGCATAACGATTACCTCCGAATGTGACCAATTATGTAAGTGTATTTATGTAAGTGCATTTGTACGTGTATGTTTGGGGGTCTGAAATGGACTAATCTACTTCACAATATTTCTTATGGGAACAAATTCGGTCAGTACTGGCACCTGAACATACTTCTGGAGTGAAAAAATATCGTTAACCGGGGGTCCACTGTAATGAGTTCCCTTGAAGCATGAAAAACAAGCCTCAGTCCACCCCTGACAGTGACATAAGATGAGATAACATTAGATAAGAGCTGACATTTGATGAGCATACACGAGGGTGAGGTGATAAGACTTGATAAGATAAGATTAGAGGTGACATTTGATGAGCATCGGCCCTCGCTTGTTTTCACTGGTACACAAACATGTCTGTCTATCTGTCTAGCTCTTTGTCTCAAAGAGAGCCACAAGACTGCATCATCACGTTTACTCGTATCTTCGAGCAGAGTATAGCACTTTGTCTGGATTTTTTGGGTTATCCTAGGTAATTTACACTATGTATGCTTCTATTTATGTGTACCTGTGAGACAGAAAGAGGCAAAGATAGACAGAGACAAAGATAAAGATAGACAAAGACAGAGAGACAGACAGAGATAGACATACACACAGACAAACAAACGGAGCGAGGCCGCCACGCAGCCAGCCAGCCACACAGCCGGCCAGCCACGCAGCCTGCCAGGTACGCAGCCGGCCTGCTGAATAAGTATTACGTTCCAGAATTGTTTCTCTTTACTTAGGGCATAGGTTATAAGGCATTCTGAAAGGGTATTGCACAACTGTTGCACATGGGTTATTATCGAGGTTTTTTGATATTTCCTCAACCACTTATGGCCACATCCACCTCAAAGCCACTAAACTCGGGGTCAACATCACTTTCCTCTTAAAATGGGAGAGTTAATACTACATGAAATCAGTGTATCTCAGGTGTTTGTCGTGCTGTTTGCTCTAGCTGGTGCTCATTTGAACTGGTGCTCCCACAAGGTACTAAGTGGTTCCAGGTTTTTTTAATACAGTGCACACTGAGTGTTATGACCCATTCTATGCTGACAAGGCATCTCAGGCCAATCGTGCCATATTTGAAGGCAGGAAAATAAAACGTTTATATACGTTTGGGGCACTAGCGGTAAGAACGTATATATATGTTTGGACTGTTTATGGGTTAAGTCTTAGAATTAACGAAGAAAATAAAGATATTAGACAAGATAACCGGTGGCCGTAATGAAGCATAACTTTGTGCACATAAGAATGAGGTAAATATGAGTGTGTGTAATTGACTTACTGATTGGCTTACTGATTGACTTACTGAATTACTGACTGACTTGACTGACGTAAAGTTAGACTTTTTCACTGAAGAGGACCCTGAAACAGTGATTAAATAATATAGTAGGCAAAAATACCAAATATGATGAAGGCATGGTATGTGGGTAAGAGAAAAGGTTAGAAAGAGCATTAAATGATTGCAGAAGAGGAGCAATTGAGATTATGGGTGAGGCATTATCAGTTCTTGTTCTGAGAAGAAACTGTTTTTCAGAAAGAAAATGTAAGAAATCCAAGGCAGCAAATAAACTTAACTGTTAACCCTTAAATGGTGAAAGTGAAAGTGGACATACTGGATAAGGAGGTTGGGGTATTAGAGAAAAGGATATTTTAACTGTTAAATATAGGTGAGTAAATGAGGGCAGAAATTTAATTCTTGGGACAAATCAAAAAAATTTATTTCTTCCTTTCCTCTCTATCACCTGATGTGCAAAGTAGTTTAAAAGAATGTTACAAATTAGATTACTAAACACTTACTGTGTTTTTTTTTTTTTCAACAAGCCGGCCATATCCCACCAAGGCAGGGTGGCCCAAAAAGAAAAAAGTTTTTCTTTTTAAATTTAGTAATTTGTACAGAAGAAGGGGTTACTAGCCCCTTACTCCCGGCATTTTAGTCGCCTCTCACAACACGCATGGCTTACGGAGGAAGAATTCTGTTCTACTTCCCCATGGAGATAAGAGATAAACAAGAACAAGAACTAGAAAGAAAATAGAAGAAAACCCAGAGGGGTGTGTATATATATGCTTGTACATGTATGTGTAGTGTGACCTAAGTGTAAGAAGTAGCAACACGACATACCTGAAATCTTGCTTGTTTATGAGACAAAAAAGACACCAGAAATCCTGCCATCATGTAAAACAAATACAGGCTTTCGTTTTACACTCAGTTGGCAGGACGGTAGTACCTCCCTGGGCAGCTGCTGTTTACCAACCTACTACCTATATAAACATTTACTATATATATAGTTAATATAATGGTGCTTTGCAAAACGAGCCTTCGTTGGATAATGCTTCACTCTAGTGAGTTTCTGTAAAGTCTTACTTTGGAGCACCCAGTTAGTTTTTATTTCCAATACTATTTATCACAGTAGGTAGGAAGAAGTATTGGAAGGTGTAGTTCTGACAGGTGGAACATGGCATCATGTGCACAGATAACACATTTCAAATAACCCTCTAATAACCCTTGTTCAGAGTGTAGGTATTACACTTCCCACATCCAGGACTTGAGTCCGGGTAATTGGTTTCTCCTTGATCCCTTCAAAAACATTATCTTGCTCACATTCCAACAGTGCTTCAACTGTAAAATCCACCCTTTTTTCTTCCACTCTCTCCAGTCTGTCACATTCACATTTGCCCACTGGATATTGATCCCCCAATCACTGAAATGCTATTGGTGTTCGAGTTCCCTGACATGCACTTGGGAGATGGCTTGTATGTACAAAAACCAGAATACTAATTCTAAATTAGCTTTATAAAATAAAATGCAAAATAGCAGTAGCTATAGAATTTTATTGGCAGTAATTGTGTAATCAGCATTATATTAACTTCATGATTTTACCCAGTATTGAGACATATGTATGCAATAAACTTGATACCTTGACAATAGATTTGATGGTGTGACTTCCATGCTGTACCACTCGCATGGTATTGGAGAAGGTTTCAGTGGCCATTATGACGAGTATTTTGGACTGAACGTGGACACAGAGGCACTTGTTTACCTCATGCTAGCCAATCACATGCTTCATCAGCTTCACCCTGAAGTCATCACCATTGCTGAGGTATGTGAAAATTGTAGATCACTATATTTTATATCAGATCGGATTGATGTTAACAAGCAACACAAAAAAAAAAAAACGTTTTGGCACTCTACTGTTTGCCCTAATTACATGCAGCTATATTTCGATAAACATTGAAATTAAATGAGTTAAAAGTACAATTTATACAACAGATTTTGCCCATACAGTGGAACCTCTACTTGTGAGTTAAATCCGTTGTGTGACCTTGCTTGCAACTGGATTTGCTTGTTTGCAGACTCGATTTTCCTCATTTAAATTAATTGAAATGCAATTAATCCGTTCCAGTGGAATTCTGTACTTCAATAATTTCCGTAATGTCAACTCGAGGCTTATTTATCTATCACACTTCATCTAATATGACATAATAAACAATATAACATAGAAACCTGATATGTACTCTAGAATGAATAAAATATGTCATTACATATGTGGCGGCGTCTGTGGCCGACGAGTTTGTCTGGAGACAAGGCAAAATACTCATTGAATATTTCGCTGTCATCAACTCTACGGCTTATTTATCTATCACAGTTCATCTATTATGACATGATAAACAATATAAATAACACAGAAACTTGATATATACTCTAGAATGAATAAAATGTGTCATTATGTAGCAGGTGGAGGAGGCCACAACCGCTCCCTCTTTGTTGTGGTAAACACTGCCATCTGATGACGGCCTTTTGAAGCCGGCTATTATTATAATTATTATTATGTAGTGTATTATTATTGTGTGTATTATTATACTTTTTTTTTTTTAACAAGTCAGCCGTCTCCCACAGAGGCAGGGTGACCCAAAAAGAAAGAAAATCGCCAAAAAGAAAATACTTTCATCATCATTCAACACTTTCACTTCACTCACACATAATCACTGTTTTTGCAGAGGTGCTCAGAATACAACAGCTTAGAAGCATATACGTATAAAGATACACAACATATCCCTCCAAACTGCCAATATCTTGAACCCCTCCTTTAAAGTGCAGGCATTGTACTTCCCGTTTCGAGGACTCATGTCCGGCTATATAAAAATAATCAGTTTCCCCGAATCCCTTCACTAAATATTACCCAGTTCACACTCCAACAGCTCGTCAGGTCCCTAATACCATTCGTCTCCATTCACTCCTATCTAACACGCTCACGCACGCTTGCTGGAAGTCCAAGCCCCTAGCCCACAAAACCTTTATCCACTCCCTCCAACCCTTTCGAGGACGACCCCTACCCCGCCTTCCTTCCCCTACAGATTTATATGCTCTCCATGTCATTCTACTTTGATGCATTCTCTCTAAATGACCAAACCACCTCAGCAACCCCTCTTCACCCCTCTGACTAATACTTTTATTAACTCCACACCTTCTCCTAATTTCCACACTCCGAATTTTCTGTATAATATTTACACCACACATTGCCCTTAGACAGGACATCTCCACTGCCTCCAACCGCCTCCTCGCTGCATCATTTACAACCTAAGCTTCACACCCATATAAGAGTGTTGGTACTACTATACTTTCATACATTCCCTTCTTTGCCTCCATAGATAACATTCTTTGTCTCCACATATACCTCAACGCACCACTCGCCTTTTTTCCCTCATCAATTCTATGATTAACCTCATCTTTCACAAATCCATCCGCTGATACGTCAACTCCCAAATATCTGAAAGCATTCACTTCTTCCTTACTCCTCCTCCCCAATTTGATATCCTGTTTTTCTTTATCTAAATCATTTGATACTCTCATCACGTTACTCTTTTCTATGTTCACTTTCAACTTTCTACCTTTATACACACTCCCAAATTCGTCCACTAACCTCTGCAATTTTTCTTTAGAATCACCCATAAGCACAGTATCATCAGCAAAAAGTAACTGTGTCACCTCCCATTTTGTATTTGATTCCCCATAATTTAATCCCACCCCTCTCCCGAACACCCTAGCATTTACTTCTTTTACAACCCCATCTATAAATATATTAAACAACCATGGTGACATTACACATCCCTGTCTAAGACTACTTTTACCAGGAAGTATTCTCCCTCTCTTCTACACACCCTAACCTGAGCCTCACTGTCATCATAAAAACTCTTTACAGCATTTAGTAACTTACCACCTATTCCTTATACTTGCAGCATCTGCTTATTTATTTTTACAATTTTATTTATGCAGAGTACAGTGGAGCCTCGGTTTTCATTTTTAATTCGTTCCAGAGAGTCTGACAAAAATCGAATTCGACGAAAACTGAAGCAATATATCCCATAAGAAATAATGCATATCCAATTAATCTGTTCCAGACACCCAAAAATATTGACAAAAAAAAAATACATTTTAAAGACAATAACTATATAGTTTTGCATACAGAAAACAATGAGAAATAAATATAAAGCACTAATGAAATGGATAAATGAACATTTAAATCACTTTTACCTTTATTGAAGACTTGTTGGCGTATGGAAGACGGCGAGGAGGGGAGAGGGAGGAGGGGTTATCTCTACCACCATCACTACCACCCTCTACCACCATCACTACCACCCTCTACCACCATCACTACCACCCTCTACCACCATCACTACCACCCTCTACCACCACCACCACCACCCTCTACCACCATCACTACCACTCTACCACCATCTCTACCACCATCACTACCACCCTCTACCACCATCACTACCACCCTCTACCACCATCACTACCACCCTCTACCACCATCACTACCAGAAACAAAACCAGACTGACTCAGAATGTGTGCGTGGGAAGCTTTGTGTGAGCACTGGCAGACGGACACATTCGGTACGGTGGATGAAAACCAAGGTGATGAACGAAAACTGGAACAATATTTTAGCAAAAATTCGATGAAAACTGGGGCAAACAAAAACCTAGGTTCCACTGTAGTTTTAAATATAATGTTAATTTTTTGGTTAAAAACATTGAATAACCATTGGGTTCCAAAGCTGTGTAAATTTTACATATGTATTAGGTAATCAATAAATTAAAGACTAAGGCTCACATATTAGAAAAACACAGGAAAAAAGTCTACTTTTCTTACCAGGATGTGTCTGGAATGCCAGCCTTGTGTCGGCCAGTTGAAGAAGGTGGTACTGGCTTTGATTATCGGTTGGGAATGGCAATCCCTGATCACTGGATCAAACTTCTTAAAGAAAAAGCCGATGATGACTGGGATATGGGAAGTATTTGCAACACGCTGGAGAATCGGCGCTACTTGGAAAAAACTATTGCATACGCAGAGTCACATGATCAGGTTAGTTCCTTTTCGCTGTGCAATTTAACCAGTCTGAAAGTAAAGTTCTCTACTGCTTAAGTGGAAATAACTTTTAATAGTATTTTAGCCTTTTTAAGAAAGTTTATTGCCAAATGTAGCATACTGTATGAATTTTGACATTGGGGAAAATGTGGCCATTGTTTTATACATTCTTAGGCAATGTACAAAAGCATATGATAGAATTATCAATAAGAGTTGATGGTAAGACAGAAAAAGGATGGTTGAGCAACAAAGATTTTAGGAATGGTAAGGGATGTTCTTACATTGAAGAATATTAGTGAGCAATACTAGATAAGGGTAGGGAACTGTTTGTTGCATTTGTGGATTTAGAAAAGGCATGGGATAGGGTGGATAGGAGAGCAGCATGGCAGATGTCAGTGTATGGAATAGATATATAGTAGTAGGTTACTAAAAGAATCTTTCCTCTGCAAGCCATGCGTGTTGTATGAGGCAACTAAAATGCCGGGAGCAATGGGCTAGTAACCCCTTCTCCTGTAGAAAATACTAAAAAAGAGAAGAAGAAAACCTTTATAAAACTGGGATGCTTGAATGTACCTGGATGTAGTGCAGATGATAAAGAGATGATTGCTAATGTTATGAATGAAAAAAAGTTGGATGTCCTGGCTTTAAGCAAAAGAAAGTCAGGAGTATCTGAGAGAATTAGAGCTAAGGAAAGGGTAGCAATAATGTTGAAGGATCAGTTATGGAAGGAGAAGAGGGAATATAAATGTATAAATTCAAGGATTATGTGGATTAAAATAAGGGTTGGATGCAAAAAGTGGGTCATAATAAGTGTGTAGGCACCTGGAGAAGAGAGGAGTGTAGAGGGGGAAGAGAGAGAAAGAGATTAAGTAAGTGTATAGGAACTTTTGAATCAAGTGAGAGAGTAATTGTAGTAGGGAACCTAAATGCTAAATTAGGAGAAAGATTTAAAGAGGGTGTAGGTAGTAGGTTGGTAGACAGCAACCACCCAGGGAGGTACTACCATCCTGCCAAGTGAGTGTAAAACGAAAGCCTGTAATTGTTTTACATGATGGTAGGATTGCTGGTGTCTTTTGTCTGTCTTGTAAACATACAAGATTTCAGGTACATCTTGCTACTTCTACTTACACTTTGGTCACACTACACATACATGTACAAGCATATATATACACACCCCTCTGGGTTTTCTTCTACTTTCTTTCTAGTTCTTGTTTATTTCCTCTTCTCTCCAAGGGGAAGTGGAACAGAATTCTTCCTCCGTAAGCCATGCGTGTTGTAAGAGGTGACTAAAATGCCGGGAGCAAGGGGCTAGTAACCCCTTCTCCTGTATAAATTACTAAATTTAAAAAGAGAAACTTTTGTTTTTCTTTTTGGGCCACCCTGCCTTGGTGGGATATGGCTGGTTTGTTGAAAGAAGATGATTTAGAGAGGGTGTGGTGGGTAAGTTTGGGGTGCCAGGTGTAAATGATAATGGGAGCCCTTTGATTGAACTTTGTATAAAAAGGGGTTAGATTATAGGTTAGATTATACATTTAAGAAAAAGAGGATAAATAAGTATACAAGATATGATGTAGGGCGTAATGACTTGGACTACGTATTGGTAGATAAAAAAAACTCTTGAGTAGACTTCAGGATGTTCATGTTTATAAACGGGCCACAGATATATTAGATCACTTTTTAGTTGTAGCTACAGTGAGAGTAAAAGGTAGATGGGATACAAGGAAAATAGAAGCAGCAAGTAGGAGAGAGGTAAAGGTTTATAAACTAGAGGAGGAGGCAGTTAAGGTAAGACATAAACAACTATTGGAGGATAGATGAGCTAGTGAGAGTATAGGCAGTTGGGTTGAAGATGTATGGGGTAGGTGTAAGAATGTAGTGTTAGTGGGTGCGGAAGGGAAGATGAGCGATTGGTGGAATGATGATGTAAAGAGGGTAGTAAGGGAGAAAGTTAGCATATGAGAGGTTTTTGCAAAGTAGAAGTGATGCAAGGAGGGAGGAGTATATGGAGAGATAAAGAGTGGTTAAGAGAGTGGTGAAGCAATGTAAAAAGAGAGCAAATATGAGAGTGGGTGAGATGTTTTCAAAAAATTTTGTTGAAAATAAGAAAAAGTTTTGGAGTGAGATTAATAAGATGAGGAAGCCTAGGGAATGAATGGATTTGATAGATAAAAATAAGAGGAGAGTTATTAAATGGAGAGTTAGAGTTTGAAGTATTGGGAAGATGGAGGGAATATTTTGAGGAATTGTTAAATGTTGATGAAGATATTGAAGCTGTGATTTCGTGTACAGGGCAAGGAGGAATAACATCTTGTAGGAGTGAGGAAGAGCCAGTTGTGAGGTGAGGGAGGGGGGAGTTTGTGAGGCAGTGGGTAGAATGAAAGGAGGTAAGACAGCTGGGATTGATGGGATAAAGCTAGAAATGTTAAAAGCAGGTGGGAATATAGTTTTGGAGTGGTTGGTGCTTTTATTTAATAAATGTATGGAAGAAGCTAAGGTACCTAGGGATTGGCAGAGAGCATGCATAGTTCCTCTGCATAAAGGCAAAGGGGACAAAAGTGAGTGTAAAAATTAGAGTATACCTAGTAAAGTGTATGATAGTTATTACTGAAATAATTAAGAGTAAGACGGAGAGTAGGATAACAGATGAACAAGGAGGCTTTAGGAAAGGTAGGGGGTGTGTAGACCAAGTGTTTACAGTGAAACATGTAGGTGAACAGTACAGTGGAACCCCGGTTAACGATATTTTTTCATTCCAGAAGTATGTTCAGGTGCCAGTACTGACCGAATTTGTTCCCATAAGGAATATTGTGAAGTAGATTAGTCCATTTCAGACCCCCAAACATACACGTACAAACGCACTTACATAAATACACTTACATAATTGGTCGCATTGGGAGGTGATCGTTAAGCGGGGGTCCATTGTATTTGTATAAGGGTAAAGAGGTTTTTGTGGCATTTATGGATTTGGAAAAGGTGTATGAGAGGGTGGATAGGGGGCAGTGTGGCAGATGTTTCAGATGTATGGAATAGGAGGTTTTTTTTTTTTTTATTATCACACCGGCCGATTCCCACCAAGGCAGGGTGGCCCGAAAAAGAAAAACTTTCACCATCATTCACTCCATCACTGTCTTGCCAGAAGGGTGCTTTACACTACAGTTTTTAAACTGCAACATTAACACCCCTCCTTCAGAGTGCAGGCACTGTACTTCCCATCTCCAGGACTCAAGTCCGGTAGGTTACTGAAAGCAGTGAAGAGTTTTTATGAGGATAGTGAGGCTCAGGTTCGAGTATGTAGGAGGGAGGGAGATTCTTTCCCAGTAAAAGTAGGCCTTAGACAGGGATGTGTGATGTCACCATGGTTGTTCAATATATTTATAGGTGGGGTTGTAAGAGAAGTGAATCCTCAGGTGTTGGCAAGAGGTGTGGGGCTAAAAGATAAAGAATCTAACACAAAGTGGGAGTTGTCACAGTTGCTTTTTGCTGATGACACTATGCTTTTGGGAGATTCTGACGAGAAGTTGCGGAGGTTGGTGGATGAGTTTTATAGGGTATGAAAAAGAAAAAAAATTGAAAGTGAATATAGGAAAGAGTAAAGTGATGAAGATAAAAAAAATTAGATGACAAAAGATTAGATATCAGACTGGAGGGAGAGAGTATAAAGGAGGTGAATGTATTCAGGTATTTAGGAATGGATGTGTCAGCAGATGGGTCTATGAAAGATGAGGTGAATCATAGAACTGATGAGGGAAAAAAGATGAGTGGTGCATTTAGGAGTCTGTGGAGACAAAGAACTTTGTCCATGGAAGCAAAGAGGTTAATGTATGAGAGTATAGTTATACCGATGCTCTTATATGAGTGTGAAACATGGGTGGTGAATGTTGCAACAAGAAGAAGGCTGGAGGCAGTGGAGATGTCGTGTCTGAGGGCTATGTGTGGTGTGAATATAATGCAGAGAATTTGCAATTTGGAAGTTAAGAGGAGGTGCAGAATTACCAAAACTATTATCCAGAGGGCTGAGGAGGGGTTGTTGAAGTGGTTTGGATGTGTAGAGAGGTTGGAACAAATTAGAATGACTTCGAGAGTGTATAAATCTGTAGTGGAGGGAAGGTGGGGTAGGGGTTGGCCTAGGAAAGGTTGGAGGGAGGGGGTAAAGGAGGTTTTATGTGCAAGGGGCTTGACCTTCCAGCAAGCATGAGTGAGTGTGTTAGATAGGAGCAAATGGAGACAAATGGTTTTAAGGACTTGACGTGCTGTTGAAGTGTGAGCAAGGTAACATTTATGAAGGGATTCATGGAAACCGGCAGGCCGGAATTGAGTCCTGGAGATGAGAAGTACAGTGCCTGCACTCTGAAGGAGGGGTGCTAATGTTGCAGTTTTTTAACTGTAATGTGAGTGTGCCTCTGGCAAGACAGTGATAGAGTGAATGATGATGAAAGTTTTTCTTTTTCAGGCCACCCTGCATTGGTGAGAGACGGCCGACGTGTTAAAAAAAAATTAGGCATGATGTATAGTTTTTTATGAGTTTCCAAAAATTACATTGCGGTGAAAATTCATTCAGCATAAACATTACCTTTGTGTTATTCAAATATATCATAAAAATGTCTTGTTTCAGGCTCTTGTAGGGGACAAAACAATAGCATTCTGGCTTATGGATAAAGAGATGTATACCAACATGTCCAAGATGTCTCCTCCATCTCTGATTATAGACCGAGGAATTGCCCTTCATAAAATGATCCGGCTCATCACTCATGGTCTTGGTGGCGAAGGCTATCTCAATTTTATGGGTAGATATTATTTCAAGTTTTTCTCAGCCTTTCAAGTGTTGTTCCCTTTTAAAAATCAGGTTAGAGGTTCTGGCTTAGTTGCTCTCTAATATGAAAAATAATACACAAGATTTATATTCCCTCCGAGTCATCCTGTTTTTCTCCATCCTCTAAATGTCCAGACCACTTCAACAACTCCTCAGCTCTCTGCATAATACTTTTAGTAACTCTGCACCACCACCACCTCCTAATTTCCAAATTACTAATTTTCTCCTTAATATTTACACTACACATTGCCCTTAGAGATGACATCTCCACTGCCTCCATGACTTTTATTTTCAAAAAAATTTCAGGCAATGAATTTGGCCACCCAGAATGGCTAGACTTCCCTAGAGTTGGAAATAATGAGAGTTATCATTATGCACGGAGACAATGGAATGTGGTGGATAACGATCTGCTCAAATACCAGTACCTGAATAATTTTGACGCTGCAATGAACAAACTTGAGGACAAGTACGGCTGGCTCCATGCTGATCCAGTAAGTGTTGTGGAATAATAGTTAACCCTTTCAGGGTCAGTCCCTTACTTGTGCGGCTTAACAGCCAGGGTTGGTTCTGTACTTATATGCTAAAATTCTAGCACCTTCATATTGAGCAGGAGAAAGCTGATAGGCCTACATGTGAGAGAATGGGTCTGTGTGGTGAGTGTGCGCAGTACGAAAAAAATCGGGGCACCCGCATTGCATTGTGGGAGTAGTAATTCAGTGCGCCTTGGTCACCAAGCCAAGGTAAGGAATACTTCACTCTCCGGCGAATTGGGACCCTTCCCAATTGATAGTTCTAACACAGATTGATGTGTCAGTGAAGACGAATCTAATGGTTTTGAGGAGTTTGTGACAGAAAGTAATGACCAGGATACCAGAAATAGTGATGAACACCCACACCATTATCAACCTTCCACTAAAAAAGTCAAAATGACTTATTTGCATGTGGGTGGTGGGTTAGACAGCATAGTTGGTGGGGAAGACAGTGTGGGTAGTGGGGAAGTTAGTGTCTGTGGTTAGGAAGTAAGCTTGGGTTTGTGTAAACAACATGGTTGGTTGGTTGGCCGATTGACCTTGGCTGTCTTTATCTCTGTCTGTCTGTATATGTATATCTGTGTCTCTGTCTCTGTCTTACAGGTACACACAAATACAATTATCTTTCTTTCAACACACCGGCCGTATCTCACCGAGGTGGGGTGGCCCAAAAGGAAAAACGAAAGTTTCTCCTTTTCTTCTTCTTTCAACACACCGGCCGTATCCCACCGAGGCAGGGTGGCCCAAAAGGAAAAACGAAAGTTTCTCCTTTTACATTTAGTAATATATACAGGAGAATGGGTTACTAGCCCCTTGCTCCCGGCATTTTAGTCACCTCTTACAACACGCATGGCTTACGGAGGAAGAATTCTGTTCCACTTCCCCATGGAGGTAAGAGGAAATAAACAAGAACAAGAACTAGAAAGAAAATAAAAGAAAACTCAAAGGGGTGTGTGTATATATATGCTTGTACATGTATGTGTAGTGTGACCTAAGTGTAAGTAGAAGTAGCAAGACGTACCTGAAATCTTGCATGTTTATGAGACAGAAAAAAGGACACCAGCAATCCTACCATCATGTAAAACGATTACAGGCTTTCGTTTTACACTCATTTGGCAGGACGGCAGTACCTCCCTGGGCGGTTGCTGTCTATCAACCTACTACCTAGTAAATACAATTATATATGGTGTAAATTTCCTAGGGTCTAGTGCTATACTGTGCTTGCAGATATAATGCATAGTAAGCATGACTGGCAAGTAATACATATTTTCACTATTTTCACTTGTTCAGGAATCAGACATGACAACCGTGTCGTGTGTAGTACCTGTTGGTTCACGAGTGGCTTTCTCTGAGACAGAGACAGAAAGACAGATAAGCAGAGACAGAGATAAACAGAGAGCTAGACAGACAGACAGACATGTTTGTGTGTAACAGTGAAAACAGATAAAGCCAAGGCAGTGCACACTCATCAAATGCCACCACTGCTGCACTGTCATGCTTCAAGTAAACTTATTATATACTCCTGCATATCCAAAACTTTACTGGGACCTATAAATACTATGTATACATTTATAAACAGTAGTATGTGACTAAGGTAGGCAAAAATGTCCACCTGTCAGTGCTTGTGTGGTTTTTGTGTAGCATACAATGAGTGAATATACGGTGGACCCTCAGTTATTGGCTGTAATCCGTTCCAGAAGGTTGGCCTAAACCCAAAAAGGCCGAAAACTGAAAAAATATTTCCCATAAGAATTAATGTAAATCCAATTAATCTGTTTCAGACATCCAAAAATATTAACAAAAAATACATTTTTTAAAGATTAACTATAGTTTTACATACAGAAAACAGTGAATACACTCATTACTTACCTTAAAATATTTGTAGTCTTAATGTAGGGAGAGAGGCGAGTAGTATTTATTTGTAGGAAGTCAGTGTAGGTAGTGGTAGATGTAGGTACAGTACACGTATGTAGCCCCCCTGGGCTATACACATACACATACTTACCTTAAAATATTTGTAGTCTTAATGTAGGGAGAGAGGCGAGTAGTATTTATTTGTAGGAAGTCAGTGTAGGTAGTGGTAGATGTAGGTACAGTACACGTATGTAGCCCCCCTGGGCTACACTACACCGCCATATCATTACCATGTCCACTAAGTTTAATCATTTCTAACAACTACCTTGAGATGTCATCATAAACAAAGGGAGAAGTAATGAATAATTCAGCCGAGAACTGTAAACAAACGCATATGACAAGCGGTTACTGGGCGAGATGCCAGATTCACAGTTTTCTCTAACGCTGAATCAGAGAAAAGGTAATGTTTACTCTCCACTCAATAGCATATAAACATTGCATGTTTATATGTTATGTTAAGTGAGAAGAGGCTGTATTTACGATTGAATATTGCATCTTTACGTTTGTTTACATTTTTCTCAACTGTAAATGATACATGTACAATTTCTAATTGTTTGTGTGTGTAAGTTTTGATAAATTTTAACTTTTTATAATAGATTTGTGTATACTTTATGCTAGTAAATGATAAACTAGTTTTTTGTTTTCAATGAACTGGCCGTATCCCACCGAGGCAGGGTGACCTAAAAAGAAAAACAAAAGTTTCTCTTTTTAAATTTAGTAATGTACATAGGAGAAGGGGGTTACTAGCCCCTTGCTCCTGGCATTTCAGTCGCCTCCTACGAGAGGCATGGCTTATAGAGAAAGAATTCTGTTCCACTCACCCATAGAGGTGACTAGTATTTACATATATTCTATGCATTTGTAACACCTAACTTTTTCTTAATTTTTTCAGTCGCAAATCTTCAAAAAAATTTCCAGTATTATTTATTGAAAAAAATCCATGTATAAGAGGACCTGCGCAGTTTAAACCTGTATTGTTCAAAGGTCAACTGTACTGTACTGGCATTTTCAAAAACAAGAAGTTATGAAGTAACTGTAAAGGATGAGAGTGCTAGTATCATCAATTGAAAGAACAGTACCTTGAATGGTAGCTTTGAGAATAATTGATGTCATCACTTTATAAAGATTTGAAAGTATCAGGAATTAGTAACAGTTGTCTCTCCAAGTTCAGATGTGTTTACACCTGAGTATTTTGAAAGTTTTAATTTATTAGGAGTGATGAATTAGGAAATTAAATAAGTTCCAGTAGAATAAAAGTAATCAGTATTATTAAGACACTATAAGAGTATGTGATTGAATATGTTAAGCTACTACTTAATAAATTTAACATTTTGAGGGTGCAATGATTAGTTTTTATAGAGCCTTTAGTACAGTATCATAGATTTTACATAGAAAGCTGCATTAAATAACAGATACTGTTAAAATTGGTTTTATATATTTTTTAAGAATGTTTCTCAAGACGAATGGTATTTGGGACCTGACGATTTATTGGAGTGTGAGCAGGGTAATATTTAGTGAAGGGATTCAGGGAAACCGGTTATTTTTATATAGCCGGACTTGAGACCTGGAAATGGGAAGTACAGTGCCTGCACTCTAAAGGAGGGGTTCAGGATATTAGCAGTTTGGAGGGATATATCGTGTATCTTTATACATATATGCTTCTAAACTGTTGTATTCTGAGCACCTCTGCAAAAACAGTGATTATGTGTGAGTGAGGTGAAAGTGTTGAATAATGATGAAAGTATTTTCTTTTTGGGGATTTTCTTTCTTTTTGGGTCACCCTGCCTCGGTGCGAGACGGCTGACTTGTTAAAAAAAAAAAAAAAAAAAAGTTTCTCAAGAGAGTAACCCGATAAATACTACAGCTTATACTTTTTTTTCATGTCAGGGATACACAAGCACAAAACATCAAGGGGATAAAGTGATTGTGTTTGAACGTGCAGGCTGTGTTTTTGTCTTCAATTTCCACCCCAATAAGAGCTATAGTGATTACAAGGTGAGTTATTTTACAGTTTGTATTCCATTCATTTTCTCTGTTTTCTTATGGTACATTATGATAGAAGATAGATACTGCCTTTCCTCATCTAGTGAAAAGTTAACTAATTATATCCTACAACAAATACATGATAATTACTTTTGTTTGCCTTGTTTTAGGACTTAAGGTTAGTGTGAGAGCAGAAGTGATGTAGCAGATAGGACCCCAATGGACATAAGTCACTTTGACTTTTTCGGGTTATCCTAGGTTCTCTACACATATGCTGCTATGTATGATAATCTATATAACTGTATTTGTGTATACCAGAACAAACTTACTGATATAACTAATATAAGAACCAGGCAAAAAAATAAAAGTCAGGCTTCAAAACTTTGAAGCTAGGGCTTTACTTTAGATGGCATATTCTCTAGGTAAGAATTGTTTCATATTTCATTTAGATAAGTATAGATATGATATTGGCAGTTTGGAGAGATATATTGTGTATTTTTATACATATATACTTCTCAACTGTTGTATTCTGGGCACGTCTGCAAAAACAGTGATTGTGTGAGTGAGATGAGAGTGTTGAATGATGATGAAAGTATTTTCTTTTTGGGGATTTTTTTTCTTTTTGGGTCACCCTGCCTCTGTGGGAGACGGCCAACTTGTTGGAAAAAAAAAAAAAACTATAGATGTAAATAGGGGTTTGGGATATTGGCAGTTTGGAGGGACATCTAAACTGTCATAGCTGAGCACCTCTGCAAATACACTGATTATGTATGAGTGATGGTGAAAGTGTTGAATGATGATGAAAGTTCTTTCTTTTTGGGATTTGCTTTCTTTTTTGGGTTTTTCTTTCTTTTTGGGTCACCCTACCTCTGTGGGAAATGGCCGTTGTGTTAAAAAAAAATGTAAATAACTGGAATTTCTTGTTCATAAGCCTCTACAGATTTATTTTTGTCATTATTTTTATTTTAACAGATTGGTGTAGGTGCTAGTGGTAAATACAAGATAGTTTTAGATTCTGATTCTGAAGAGTTTGGTGGCCACAAGCTTATTGATCATAGCACTGATTTCTTCACTAAAGAGGAACCTTTCAACAATCGACCACGTTGCCTTATGGTAAGTAATCAAGAAATCCAACTTCCTCCAAATTGCAACATTCAAAACCCATGCTTTACACCAATACAGTAAACCTATTGTCCAGAATTTGGGTGTACTATACCTAGCCATCAGCCCTGCCTATTGGTGGGTCATTTTGGGTGTCTAGTGATCATTTACCAGCTGTGTGGATGAGTGAATGTATGACTGCTGAAACCATAAACTTGTTTGAATAAGATCATTTCTATTTAAATATTTAAAAAAAAAATTTGCTTTATTTGCAATTTTTATTACTATTACCCAGTAAGTGATTGTGTGCCATTTATCATACCTCATGTTCTAAACACCTTCATAAAGTGAAGCTTTTATGTCAATAATTTATAGGTTGCAAGTGAATTTGATTCATACAATGGAGCAACACTGTAGGCAGTAAGAGGAATATGCAGTTACTTGGATAAGAAGCAGAAAGGTAACCAAGGTAAATGAAGCCAAGGTAAATGAAACCAAGGTAAATGAAACCAAGGTAAATGAAACCAAGGTAAATGAAACCAAGGTACAGTAGGGCCCCACCTATATGGCGAGTTAGGTTCCAGGCTGTCGCCGGAAAGCAGACATCGCCGGAAGGCAGAATGCCATTTTTTTTCATTTACAAATGCATATAAATGTAGGTAGTAGGTTGGTAGACAGCAACCACCCAGGGAGGTACTACTGTTCTGCCAAGTGAGTGTAAAACGAAAGCCTGTAATTGTATTACATGATGGTAGGATTGCTTGTGTCTTTTGTCAGTCTCATAAATATGCAAGATTACAGGTACGTCTTGCTGCTTCTACTTACACTTAGGTCACACTAAACATACATGTACACGTTTATTTATACACACTCATCTGAGTTTTCTTTGATTTTATCTTAGTTCTTGTTCTAATTACTTTTCCTTTTATATCCATGGGGAAATGGAATAAGAATCTTTCCTCCATAAGCCATGCGTGTTGTAAAAGTCAACTAAAATGCCGGGAACAATGGGCTAGTAACCCCTTTTCCTGTAATAATTACTAAAAAGAATAATAAGAAAATTGTCAAAGTGGGAAGTTTGAATGTGTGTGGATGTTGTGCGAATGATAAGAAAGAGATGGTTGTGGATGTTATGAATGAGAAGAAGCTGGATGTCCTGGCTTTAAGTGAAACAAAGCTGAAGGGGGTGGGTGAGTTTCAGTGGAGAGGAATAAATGGGATTAGGTCAGGGGTTTCTAATAGTTAGAGCTGAAGGAGTAGCAATAATGTTGAAGGATAAGCTATGGCAGGAAAAGAGGGACTATAAATGTATTAATTCAAGGATTATGTGGAGTAAAATAAAGGTTGGATGTGGGAAGTGGGTTATAGTAAGCGTATATGCACCTGGGGAAGAGAGAAGTGTAGAGGAGAGAGAGAGATTTTGGGAAATGTTGAGTGAATGCGTGGGGAGTTTTGAACCAAGTGAGAGAGTACTTGTGGTTGGGGATTTTAATGCTAAAGTGGGTAAAATTGTTGTGGAGGGAGTAGTAGGTAAATTTGGGGTGCCAGGGGTAAATGAAAATGGGGAGCCTTTAATTGAGCTATGTGTAGAAAGAGGTTTGGTAATAAGTAATACATATTTTATGAAAAAGAGGATAAATAAATATACAAGGTATGATGTAGCACATAATGAAAGTAGTTTGTTAGATTATGTATTGGTGGATAAAAGGTTGATGGGTAGGCTCCAGGATGTGCACGTTTATAGAGGGGCAGCTGATATATCGGATCATTATCTAGTTGTAGCTACAGTTAGAGTAAGAGGTAGATGGGATAAGAGGAAAATGGCAACAAGAAGTAAGAGGGAGGTGAAAGTGTATAAACTAAGGGAGGAGGAATTTTGGGTGAAATATAAGCAACTATTGGCAGAAAGGTGGGCTGGTGCAGGTATGAGTAGTGGGGGGTTGAAGAGGGTTGGAATAGTTTTAAAAATGCAGTATTAGAATGTAGGGCATTAGTTTGTGGTTATAGGAGGGTGGGCGCAGGAGGAAAGAGGAGTGATTGGTGGAATGATGAAGTAAAGGGTGTGATAAAAGAGAAAAAGGTAGCTTATGAGAGGTTTTTACAAAGCAGAAGTGTTATAAGAAGAGCAGAGTATATGGAGAGTAAAAGAAAGGTGATGAGAGTGGTGAGGGAGTGCAAAAGGAGAGTGGATTGATAGAGTGGGAGAGGTACTGTCAAGAAATTTTAATGAAAATAAGAAAAAATTTTGGAGTGAGTTAAACAAGTTAAGAAAGCCTAGCGAACAAATGATTTGTCAGTTAAAAACAGAGTAGAGGAGTTAGTAGATGGAGAGATGGAGGTTTTGGGTAGATGGCGAGAATATTTTGAGGAACTTTTAATGTCGATGAAGAAAGGGAGGCGGTAATTTCATGCACTGGCCAGGGAGGTATACCATCTTTTAGGAGTGAAGAAGAGCAGGATGTGAGTGTGGGGGAGGTGCGTGAGGCATTACGTAGAATGAAAGGGGGTCAAGCAGCTGGAACTGATGGGATCATGACAGAAATGTTAAAAGCAGGGGGGGACATAGTGTTGGAGTGGTTGGTATTTTTGTTTAATAAATATATGAAAGAGAGGAAGGTACCTAGGGATTGGCAGAGAGCATGTATAGTCCCTTTATATAAAGGGAAGGGGGACAAAAGAGATTGTAAAAATTATAGAGGAATAAGTTCACTGAGTATACCAGGAAAAGTGTACGGTAGGGTTATTATTGAAAGAATTAGAGGTAAGACAGAATGTAGAATTGCAGATGAGCAAGGAGGTTTTAGAGTGGGTAGGGGATGTGTAGATCAAGTGTTTATATTGAGGCATGTATGTGAACAGTATTAATGGATTTAGAAAAGGCATATGATAGAGTGGATAGGGAAGCAATGTGGCAGATGTTGCAAGTATATGGAATAGGTGGTAAGTTACTAAATGCTGTAAAAAGTTTTTATGAGGATAGTGAGGCTCAGGTTAGTGTGTGTAGAAGAGAGGGAGAATACTTCCCGGTAAAAGTAGGTCTTAGACAGGGATGTGTAATGTCACCATGGTTGTTTAATATATTTATAGATGGAGCTGTACAAGAAGTGAATGCTAGGGTGTTCGGGAGAGGGGTGGGATTAAATTATGGGGAATTAAATACAAAATGGAAAGTGACAGTTACTTTTTGCTGATGATACTGTGCTTATGGGAGATTCTAAAGAAAAATTGCAAAGGTTAGTGGACGAATTTGGGAGTGTATGTAAAGGTAGAAAGTTGAAAGTGAACATAGAAAAGAGTAAGGTGATGCGAGTATCAAATGATTTAGATAAAGAAAAATTGGACATCAAATTGGGGAGGAGCAGTATGGAAGAAGTGAATATTTTCAGATATTTAGGAGTTGACATGTCAGCGGATGAATCTATGAAGGATGAGGTTAATCATAGAATTGATGAAGGAAAAAAGGTGAGTGGTGCATTGAGGTATATGTGGAGGCAAAAAATGTTATCTATGGAGGCAAAGAAGGGAATGTATGAAAGTATAGTAGTACCAACACTCTTATACGGGTGTGAAGCTTGGGTTGTAAATGCTGCAGCGAGGAGGCTGTGGAGATGTCCTGTCTAAGGGCAATGTGTGGTGTAAATATTATGCAGAAAATTCGGAGTGTGGAAATTAGGAGAAGGTGTGGAGTTAAAAGTATTAGTCAGAGGGCTGAAGAGGGTTTGTTGAGGTGGTTTGGTCATTTAGAGAGAATGGATCAAAGTAGAATGACATGGAGAGCATATAAATCTGTAAGGGAAGGAAGGCAGGGTAGGGGTCGTCCTTGAAAAAGTTGGAGGGAGGGGGTAAAGGTGGTTTTGTTGGCGAGGGACTTGGACTTCCAGCAAGCGTGCGTGAGCATGTTAGATAAGAGTGAATGGAGATGAATGGTATTTGGGACTTGACAAGCTGTTGGATTGTGAGCAGGGTAATATTTAGTGAAGGGATTCAGGGAAAGCGGTTATTTTTAAATAGCCGAACTTGAGTCCTGGAAATGGGAAGTACAATGCCTGCACTTTGAAGGAGAGGTTTGGGATATTGGCAGTTTGGAGGGATATGTTGTGTATCTTTATACGTATATGCTTCTAAACTGTTATATTCTTAGCACCTCTGCAAAAACAGTGATTATGTTTGAGTGAGGTGAAAGTGTTGAATGATGATGAAAGTATTTTCTTTTTGGAGATTCTTTCTTTTTTGGGTCACCCTGCCTCGGTGGGAGACAGCCGACTTGTTGAAAAAAAAAATTATACAGTGGACCCCCGGTTAACGATATTTTTTCACTCCATAAGTATGTTCAGGTGCCAGTACTGACCGAATTTATTCCCATAAGGAATAATGTGAAGTAGATTAGTCCATTTCAGACCCCCAAACATACAGGTACAAACGCACTTACATAAATACACTTACATAATTGGTCGCATTCGGAGGTAATCGTTATGCGGGGGTCCACTGTATTTATATTAGTATATATTTTTTGACACTGAGAGCAGGTTTGTGATGAGGGCATTCGACAGTGAATGGGTTAAATCCTTATTAATTCATATTTGTTATTTTATGTTTAATGTGTGTAGGGGGGCTCGTATTTGTTTATAAATTGGTAGGCTAAGAAATATAGCATTTTAAATATTGCATCCATGAAACCTTATTGTTCAGTTTTTCTTCCAACAGAGCTACCATTGCTTGTTTCATTTATTTTTGTAATATCTTGAGATTGCTACTCCAAATTGACTTCAAACCTCCAGTGCTTATGTATCTTAGTAAAACAAAGGTCAATTCATTTATTAAATTATTCATTTTTCTTACCTTCTCAAGGGTTAGTTTATTTCTCATATCTAGTTTTGTACTAGAGAGGTTGATAGACAGGAACTGCCCAGGAAGGTACGACCGTCCTGCCAAATGAGCGTAAAACGAAAGCCTGTAATTGTTTTACATGATGGTAGGATTGCTGGTGTCTTTTTTCTGTCTCTTAAACATGCAAGATTTCAAGTACATCTGCTACTTCTACTAACACTCAGGTCACACTGCACATGTATGTACAAGCATATATATACACACCTCTCTGGGTTTTCTTCGATTTTTTTACTAGTTCTTGTTCACGTTTATTTCCTCTTGTCTCCATAGTGAAGTGGAACAGAATTCTTCCTCCATAAGCCGTGTGTGCTATAAGAGGTGACTAAAATGCCAGGAGCAAGGGGCTAGTAACTCTTTCTCCTGTATACATTATTGAAGCTAAAAAGAGAAACGTTTGTTTTTCTTTTTGGGCCACCCTGCTTCAGTGGTATATGGCCAATTTGGTTGAAAGATGATGATGATCTAGTTTTGTAAGACTTGTTTAAAATCAACTTAGATTACATTAGGGAAACATCACAGTTTGACCCACTGGCCAGTTTGAGATATAACTAATAATATTAAGGTATGGTTATCATTTTCATTTTTTTTCTTTTACAGTTTAATCAGTGCTGTCATGGAATCTTGAAATTTTATACACTGGTCACATGCATTTGGCATGTAATTCTACTGAAGTATTAGGAAGTTGTGGCTAAAGAGATTTTAATTTAAAAAATGTGTATTATAAAGATAAAAGTGTATTGTAAAGATAAAAGTGTATTAAGAAAGAAAGTAGAAGAAAACCCAGAGGGGTGTCTATATATATGCTTGTACATGTACGTGTAGTGTGACCTAAGTGTAAGTAGAAGTAGCAAGACGTACCTGAAATCTTGCATGTATGAGACAGAAAAAAAGACACCAGCAATCCTACCATCATGTAAAACAATTACAGGCTTCCGTTTTACAGTCACTTGGCAGGACGGTAGTACCTCCCTGGGCAGTTGCTGTCTACCAACCTACTACCTAGAAGAAATAAAGATATTATATTATTATTACCTTTATCTAGATAGTGTTCACTTATATGCTTCAATGTAAACACTTCATCTACACATCCCCTACCCATTCTAAAGCTTCCTTATTCATCTGCAATCCTGCTTTCTATCTTTACCTCTAATTCTTTCAATAATAACCCTACCATACACTTTACCTGGTACACTTGGTAAACTACTACTTTCTACAAACCGGCCATATCCCACCGAAGCAGGGTGGCCCGAAAAGAGAAACAAGTTTCTCTTTTTAACTTTAGTAATGCATACAGGAGAAGGGGTTACTAGCCCTTTGCTCCTGGCATTTTAGTCACCTCTTACGACATGCATGTCTTATGGAGGGAGAATTCTGTTCCACTTCCCTATGGAGATAAGAGGAAATAAACAAGAACAAGTAAGAAAATAGAAGAAAATGCAGAGGGGTGTGTATATATATATGCTTGTACATGCATGTGTAATGTGACCTAAGTGTAAGTAGAAGTAGCAAGATGTACCTGAAATATTGCATGTTTTAGACAGAAAAGAGACATCAGCAATCCTACCATCATGTAAAAAAAATTATAGGTTTCCGTTTTACACTTTTGGCAGGAAGGTAGTACCTCCCTGGGCGGTTGCTGTCTACCAACCTACTACCTAACACTCAATAAAATATTCCCCTATAATTTTTACAATCTTTTGTCCCCCTTTCCCTTGTATAAAGGAATTATACACTCTGCCAGACCATAGGTACCTTCCCCTCTTTCAAACATTTATTGAACAAAAGTACTACCAACCACTTCAACACTATATACCATCTGATTTTAACATTTCTTTCATTCTTCCATCATTTCCAACTTCTTTACCCGCTTTCATTCTACCTAATGCCTCATGCACCTCCCCAACACTCACATCTGGTTTTTCTTCACTCCTAACATATGTTATACCTCCCTATCCAGTGTATGAAATTACTGCCTCCCTCTCTTCAACAACATTTAAGAGTTCCTCAAAATATTCCCGCCATCTTCCCAATATAAATATATCATAAATAGGATGTCATACTAATTATTGAGGAGAAATATAAGTTTTCTTTTATTTCAGGTGTACATTCCAAGTCGTGTTGCGATCATCTTGGCAAAAGTGGATTGAAAAAATTCCTGTCTACAAGGATTGTTTTATAGTAATTTATATATACTATATAATGACATGTTGATACTGGAAGCTCCCCAGTATTCCAGAAAAAGAAATTACTCGGTAAGTTAGCAAATGTATTGGTGCTTTCATTACAAAGAAATAAAAATACTGTACTAGATTTGCAAGATTTAACAATTTTTGTGTAAAATCAGCTTTTAGAAATAATGTGATTCATGTTAGTGTGATACGTACTATATTTAATGGGGGAGAAAGACTTAGGATATGCATACACTTAACCTAGCTTCACTATGCCATGGGAATAGGAAAGATTTTCAGTGTTCTGTTGAAGTGACACCAGCAAAATAGCCAGTTAAAGTGGCATAATAGAATACAGTGGACCCTCCCTTTTCATCTTTAATTCGTTACAGAGAGTCCAACGAAATGTGAAATCGACTAAAACTGAAACCTTTTTCCCCATAAGAAGTAATGTAAATCCATTTCAGACATCCAAAAGTTTCAACAAAAAATACATTTTATAGAGAAGAACTGTATTCCACAGCTTATTTATCTGTCATAATTCATCAAATATGACAAAATAAACAATATTAATAACATAGAAACACGATATATACTCTAGAATGAATGAAATGTGTCATTACGTATGTGAGGAGTAAGTGATGGTGGTGGTGATGTTGTTGGGTTTATAAGGACCATTGAGAGAAGCCATACTTATTAGTGGTAGGCAGCAGCAGAAGCCACCAACACTATTCACACAAACAATGTACGTAATTTATAAATAAGAAATAGTATTTACACTTACTGTACCTTGGAGATGCTAGCATTGGTTTAGGGTGGTGGAAGATAGGCAGGGTAGTGTATGTTTGTTAGTGCCCTATATACCTCAAACAACAATGGAGGAGTCAGTTTTGTGTCGTCCTTTTTCTATTGCGTAATTGCTTAACTTACTTGCTACACTGTTAATGCTACACTTTATCACTGGCTGGCGCTATAGCCTTTCGACTCCTGCTGCTGCTTTAGTATCGTACACATTGTAGAAGCATTGAATCACTGAAGAAGGCACATTCTCCTTTCTCTTCCTCCTCCACTTTGGTACTTTGCTACGAGTTTTTTCTTGAATTTTATCATGTTTCTCACCTTCTGTATCAACGAGCTGACACTAGCAGCTTTCTTTGGGCCCATGGTGACTTATTTAGCAGTCACATAATTAACAAGTGCAAAAAACAATGAATTATTATGAAATGTTTCCTGTGGCCTCACAGAATAATGTTCACCCACATAGAAACAAAGCGATACTGCCTCAGAATGTGTGTGGGAGGCTTTGTGTGCGGTCAGCACTCAGACAGGTGTCATACCACCGACGAGAACAGAGGAAAGCAACGGAAATGGAGCCATTATTTTTACCGTACCACCGACTAGAACAGAGGATAGCAACAACAATGGTGCCAGTAATTTTACGGAAAAAATCGGCGATAACGGAAGTGAGTGAAAATAGAGCCCAACGAAAAGGGAGGGTCCACTGTAGCTTCTATCCATCTACGGTGTGATAGGTCTCAAGGGAGGCTACTTGATCCCAGTGAAAGGCTGTTGGTCAACTGTATTTGACCCAACTTCCTCTTCTTTGTAGTGAAACTGATTGCCTTTCATTCCAGTAGGCAATTTGACCCATACATGTTTAGTGTTCCCCCATGAATGCAATACTGTAATATTAAGTCAATAATTTAATATTATAATGGAAACATCTTGCTAAAATTGCTATTGAGTATATTTTTTTTACTAGTACAGTGTCAAACTAAAATTTAAAATATTTCACATGTACATTAATGTACAATATTCAATCAAATGTTTTCTAGTCAATTTGTTTCTAGGAATTACATGCATGCTAGTACTGTTTATGTAGGTGCTCTAAACTAGTTGTACTGATTATAATTTCATGTTTAACTACTTTGACGAGGGATCATAGGAGCTAACTGAAACGCTAGGTTAGATTTTATTGTTTTACTAATTAAAAAAATTATTTTTTACTGCAATTTTTTTTTGGCCATTGTAAGTAGTGTATATAAATACTCATATTAAGTGAAAAGTAAATTATAGAACAAGCTTTATGAACAGGATTGCACTTGTTCAAATTCTGATAAATATTTCATACCTTTAAGATAAATGCTTCATGGCTTGCTTAAATGCGAGAAGATTATGGATGTCAACATGACTTTAGCAAGACAGTGATTGAATGAATGACTGTGAAAGTGCTGCTGCTTTTTTTTTTGGGGGGGGGGGGGGGGGGGGGGGGGGTCGGGGTCACCCTACCACATTGGATGATGGCCATAATGCTAAAAATTTAATGTGGTGCTACAAAACTATCTTTTGGGTGTCTGTACCTGTTTTTCCTACTCTTAAAATTTTGAAACGTACATTTTATTCTTTGCACAAAGTTACAAACTTGACAACCTCTTGTACAGTATGTATATCAGTATCAATAAAATGTCAAGCAAAACATCTTAATCATTGTTGAAGTATAAAGGGGTAGAGAGAGTTTTGGGACATCTTTAAAGGGCTGTGGAATAAAAATGATTAAATATGTAAGTTGGAGTTTATATTACGATATTGGCAAAGTAGCCACTCTACAGTGACAATGTTAGCACAGTATGTTGAAGGTAATGCAGTGTACTGTATATATACTGGTAGTCTTAGGGACCACTGTCACATAAGCAATATGTTCATTGTTTAAATTGCTAATGTTTTATTTTTTAATAATGAAGTACGATTCCTCGACTCTAACTTCTTTGTTATTTTTGTTAATAGCAAACCATAATTACTGTAGTTATCATAATCTATGTGGTGTAAATTGAGTCAGAACACAGTGTTTTAAATGTCATATTATGTAACAAGAATATATGTGGATAGAAGCTCTTTAATATTACTCTTATGGCTTTCTCCATTGTAATTATGGTATATTGAACTGGCATGACTTTTGTATATGTTGGTAATCTGTTTCCATAGGAAAATTGAAATAAAACCACTTCATTTTTTTAGGATATGTTTAATCCATGTTACAATATGGCCATTGTTATTCCCCAAACCAAATGGTTAATGTTTTCCAACATTTTGTAAAAAAGTTGATTGACATCAGAATGTTCTTGAAGAGATATACAAATGTTCCCGTGTAAATAAAAAGTTAAATTGTGTAAAATGAAATACTGTAATTATGTAAATGGGTAATAAAGAGTTATTTTGGTATATAATAAAATTTCATAAATTATGTAAATGTCTATAAAGAAACAAACCAAATATATATCTACCAGTAAGCCTTAGTGTTTCTTTATCTTAAGTGTGGTATATCGGATCAGTGTGTACTATGTTTTGATGTGACACCATTTTTCTGTAGGGAAAAATGAAAGATAAACCCTTGCTTTTCTATAGAATCTTGTCCTTGAAAAATTAAATCTTGAATCATCATTGGTCCTTTTTTATTACTCATTTGAGCTCTAAACTCGTTAGGGTCATACAGTGCATCAAGGAAAGGGAGGCAATCAGGTTCAGTTTTGACTGATAATAAGAAGAAAAGTAGGATAAGTCCCATTCCTCGGATGAAGAGCTCCTTATTAGCATCAAGACGCCTTCATTGAGGAACATCCCATAATCCACATTATTATTATTATTATTATTATTATAATCAAAAAGAAGCACTAAGCCACAAGGGCTATACAGCGCTGCAGGGCAGGAAGGAAGCGAGGGTATCAGGTGGCAAAAGGAAGATGGATGAGTAATAGGTTACGGAGAACAGCGAGGCAGTGGATGGTGAAAGGGTAGAGGGCAGCAAGAGATTGAGGTAGAAAGGGCTGAGGGGAGTGCAAAAGGTATAATCATCAGAGTTTGTGGAGTAAATCAGTCATTGTCAAGAAGTCAATGAGAGAGTCAGGATTAAAAGAGGGTCCATCAGCAAAAGGGAAGGTAAAGAGAGTACGTAGTAGATTATTATAATTCAAAAAGAAGCGCTAAGCCACAAGGGCTATACAGCGCTGCAGGGTAGGGAAGGAAGCTAGGGTATTGGATGGCAGAAGGGAGGAGGGATGATCAGTAGGTTACAGAAAACAGCGGGGCAGGGGATAGTACGGGGGTAGAGGGTAGCAAGAGATTGAAGTAGAAAGGGCTGAAGGTATCAGTATTTGTGAAGTAAGTCAGTTGTTGTCAAAAAGTCAATGAGAGAGTCCGGATGAAAGGTGGGTCCATCAGCGAGAAGGGAAGGTAAAGAGAGAGCAGCGGAGCGAAGACGACGACGGAGGTAAATTCTGCGTGCTCGTTGATAAAGTGGGCAGTCCAACAGAATGTGGCTGACTAATAATGGAGCTTGGCAATTCTCACAGAGAGGAGCAGGGCGCCTCTCCATGAGATATCCATGAGTAAAACGAGTATGGCCAATGCGAAGACGGGAGAGAGTAGTCTCCCAACCTCGACACTGGTGATAAGAAGACGGCCAGTAACCTATACTTGGTTTAACAGATTGAAGTTTGTTGCCGAGCATAGTAGACCAACGGTGTTGCCAACGGGTGTGAAGATGGGAAGATATTGCAGCAAAATAGTCCGTAAATGGAATACCTCTATATGAAACTGGTAGGTCATGTACTGCTGACCGCGCAGCAGTGTCTGCCTGTTCATTGCCCTGTACGTCAACATGACCAGGGACCCAACAAAAAACAATATCTTTATGCTTGGTAAAGATGCGGCGTAGCCAAAGTTGGATACGGAGGACTAAGGGGTGAGGTGTATCAAATTTCTGTATAGCCTGTAAAGCACTAAGGGAGTCTGAGACAACCACAAATGATGACACAGGCATAGATGCAATATGGATAAGTGCTGAAAGGATGGCATACAATTCAGCAGTAAAAATACTAGCCGAAGATAGTAAATGCCCTCGTACGACGCTGTCCGGAAACACTGCTGCGAATCCTACGCTGTCAGAAGACTTAGAGCCATCTGTGTACACGGCAATGGCATGAGAATGAGAGTGAAAGTGGTCAAGAAAAAGAGAGCGGGAAGCGACCATAGACAGTTGGGCTTTCGAGCAAGGGAGAGAGAAAGAACAGACCCGAACAGCTGGAACTTCCCAGGGGGGTAGGGAAAAGTGAGATGCTACATAACATAGAAAGGTGGTTACTGAAGAGAAGACAAGAGCGAATGAAGGCGAAGAGAGAAGGGACGGAGTAAACGGGCGGTGAACAAATAAAGAATGTCTACTAATATCAGTGACCATTCTATAAGTGGAAGGATTGCGGAGATCATGAAAGCGTACATAGTAGCGAAGGCAATGGGTATCACGCGATCGGATAAGGATGGAACGTTCGCTTCTGCATAGAGGCTCTCGACAGGGGAAGAGCGAAAAGCACCAAGGCATAAACGTAATCCTCGGTGATGAATGGGGTTAAGGCTAGAGAGAGTAGCAGGAGATGCCGCTGAATAGATCTGGTCACCATAATCAAGTTTCGATAAAATAAGGGTGGAATGTAGGCGAAGGAGGGTTCGACGATCAGCTCCTCATGAAGATGAGCAAGGGTTTTAAGAAGGTTCAGCCGACTGTGACAAGTTGCCTTCAGAGAGGTAATGTGAGGTTTCCAGGATAACCTACGATCAAAGAGGAGGCCCAGAAACTTGACCGTATCACGTTCAGGGATACGGGAGCCATAGAGGTACAAAGGATGATCGGAGATGACAGAGCGTCTAGTGAAAGTAATTTGGTGGGTTTTAGTGCTGGAAAATTGAAACCCACGTGTGGTGGCCCAATTGGAAACACGGTCGACTGCATGCTGGAGAGAAACTGTAATGAGGTGACAGTCAGCGCCTGCACAGGCAATAGCGAAGTCATCAACATAGAGTGATGACCAAATATTTGATGGAAGACTAGAGACCAAATCATTAATAGCAAGGAGAAAAAGTGTTGTGCTCAGAACACATCCCTGGGGGACACCAGCTTGGATAAAGTCCGGGGAGAGCACATTATTAACCCGAACACGGAAATGCCTGTCAGTTAAAAAGAGAGTAGTAGAGCGGAGACGATGTTGGAGGTAAATTCTGCGTGCTCGTTGATAGAGAGGGCAGTCTAACAGAATGTGGCTAATTGATACTGGAACTTGACACTGCTCACAGAGAGGAACATGGTGCCTCTCCACGAGATACCCATGAGTAAGACGAGTGTGGCTAATGCGAAGGCGGGGGAGAGTAGTCTCCCACCCATAATCCACAACTGGCTTTGGGAATTATTTCCTCTGAATCACCCCTACAGGTACTCCTCACCTACCTGCTTAACGACCGCTCAGACTAATGGCCAGCTCTCCAACCAGTTTACTGTATGTGTATTTATCTTTTTATTGTTTTTAATGCCTAGGTCTATTCTTAATATACTTGCTGTATAATCCTTGTGGTTTAGCGTTTTTTTTATTATAATAATAATAATCTTAACATACTAAAAATGTTATAAATGGTGCAAAGGTGACATTAACCCTTGAAGTGTCCAAATGTAGATCTACATTTTCACTGCCAGTGCTCCGAATATTTTGGAAAAAAAAAAATTAAATTAACGAGATCAGTTTTCTGTGTAATAAGACCCCAAACAATTTTTTAGGGTCAGTACATGCCAAGATATAAGACAGTGAAGTTGGTGCTGGATGCTCACCTGACGGCAACATGGAGTCCTGCCTCTTGCAGAAGGGTTGCCAATATACCTTTTTTTCTCATTTTATTTTAATTTATATAATTTGTTCTGATAATTACAATTTGTAGTAGTTCTTGTGACTTCATAGCCAATCTTTGTTCTGACACTAATTAGGTGCTGAAATAGTACTCAGTCACAAACACACTGACAGGTGAACATTTTCACCTGTCTTGGTTGCATACTATTGTCTACAAATATATGCAAAGTATTCAAAGGTCCCAGCAATGCTTTAGACATGCTGAAGTACATACGAAACTCCTTGAGGCACTGTGTGAGATGAGTGTCACTTCACTGCTGACAGTGCAGCAGTGGAGTGAC